TACACCAAATGTCCACTTTTCTTCCGTCTTTCCCCAGAAAGTCAATGTTTTTATCAAGGTGCCGATAAGATATGAACATACACACGTACAAAGTGAATGCAATAAAAAACAAGACCGGAAATGCAATAATCATTTGTTCTCTGTCGAACAAAAATATCCAGGCTAAGTTCAGACTCATATTGATGATGAAAAAGAAGAAAAATGACCAAGGTAGAAGAGTTGGATTGCAGTAGAGGGGGCCATTTTCTGTTTTCCGGAACAGATTGACAATGGTGTAGACAATCCACACCGCCTCCCATACATATATTACACCCCAGATACTGAACATCCACCCTGCCGGAGTAATTTCCACGTAGTACTTATCAGAAATGTTTCCCGTCTCGCTCTTGAAGATTCCTTTAAAAATAAATCAAGACATTATGACTTTATGAATCATCCGTTATAAGCAAAGATACCATAAAAAACATAACTAATATTAATCTTAGATACTTAAAAATTGAATAATGTTTTCGAGGGACAACACCGATTATAGGGTATACCACAGGTGCTCGAGGACAGGATCCCCCCCCCCCCCGGGATATACACCCTGGGCCTATATTGGTGATATAATCTATACCTACGATTCGAAAAATTACCTAAAACAAACATTTTATAAAATCTACCCCACTCTCTCTATATAAAAATTTATATATATAGAGTGGGGTATTAATTTTTATAAAATGTGCCATTTTTCTGAATTGATGATATAGATTATATCACAAATTTGTCATCCATATATAATTTATGAGAAAAAAGTCGAATAGGTAAGGCCCTGGAGTCTGGGGGGGGGGGGTTCCTGTCCTCAAGCACCTGTGGGGTATACAATAAAACAGGATAATTGCTCATGCAGTTTACAATGCAATGCACCGGGATAAAAGATATATCCAAAATTTTAACTCACCAAGTTCGACCCCAGTACTTCCTGCGAAGGCGTTGAATATTGTTGCCACTCCATAAACTATTGCATTAATGAGAATTAGGAATAGCAGAGGCACGTTGTGAGCCATTTTATACTGAAAGGCAAAATAAAATAATGAAATCTTTTTTCAAACCCAATGTCTGGTCTTAAGAAACCTTTACCGTAAAACGATAAACTTCTTTAGATTGGTTCTGTAGGAAATGGCCCATTCTATTATTACTTCGTTATATTTTTGTTTCAAATTTTTATAATAATTAAGTTGATATTCGTTTTAAATCAGTTTTCAATGTGTTCAAGATAGCGCGAATTTTATCACAATGTTAGATTCTTATAATACTATACTTACATAAGTTTATGTAATCCCTATTGTATAGAAAAGGTTAATGTCCTTATACCAGGTCGACAGTACTGCAATATTACATGTACTTGTCTTCAAAGTTTTCTGTATGTTTTATATCAGTCAGTTACACAACTTTTGTGACGGAGTCAGGGTACGGTAACTCGCACGTGATAAATGTAAACATCTTCGTGAAAGCTAGTTGAATCGTTACGTCAAAAATAAAAAAATAGAAAAATTAATAAATTTAAAAAAAAAAAAGGAAGAGATTTTTCTACTTGCATTCCAAATTAATTTATTAAGGATGGGAATTATATAACTCATTTATTTGACAATTGTTAATTAACCGATTTTATGTTAACATAAAGGGACGATTAGGTTTTAAAATGTAGAATTTCAAATTGTTTATACCCCTACTGTGTAAATATTTACCGTCTTTTTGAGATGCACATGTCTCACCTCGTGGTATGAGTTGAAGCGACACGGATCAACTGATTCTAATGAATCAATATTTGGATTTATTGGTTGTCGTAGGATTTATATCTTTTCAAAACTAGTCAGAAAAAGTCTTTTAGATTGAACTTATATGTAAATATTGACATATATTTAAAATTCTGCGAACAGAAAAACATAAATTACAGTTTCTTAACTGTTCAAACAAAACATTTGTATATATGCTGTACATATTCACATTTAACATGTACATAAATTTCAATCTGACATAGTAGAAAGCACTTAGCATATGCATAATGCATGTCAAATAAACATGAATAAACTACATATAACAGCGATATTTCAAAAGTTCTAATGTACGAAATTTTCATAAAATCATTTAGTCTTTCAATGTTGTAAAATATTGATTTCTTAAAATCTTGATGAATTTTCTTTATTTACAGAGTACGGGATAAAAGGATGCAGTTTTTTGTTTGTTTTGTTTGTTTGTTTTTTTTTTTTTACTGAAATCATACGAGAAAATAAATAATTATCCGTATACCGAGCTACATTTGTAATACTCATTGTAAAAAAAAAAATCTGTATAGGGGGTGCCTAGTGAATTTGTGTGAGTTATGAGGACAATTGTCCTTGGGTGAGATCGGACAAGTGGGGCCACTAGGACAGAGGAAATGAACATTTTATAACTGTGTTAAAGGTACATATTTCATCTTTGTTGTATAATTGCATCGTCAGTATGAGGGCATGTACACCTACGTATAACTGAACACTAAAATGTAAAAGTTTACGAGCTACATGCGCAAATTGTGTTGTCAATGATTTTTTGAGGGGGATATTCTTATAGTGAAATTCATTGGCGTCGCGGATCCAGAAAACATTGTGGGGAGTGGTGACCATAACGGAGGAAATCAGGAGACCTCATGCATTTTGGAAATTATCTTCAGAACGTTTAAAATTAAGCCAATAAGTTAAGAAATTGTTAAAACGAATTTAATTAAACAATAAAAGGCTTTCTTTGGTTGTTAGTAGGGGAATTAATTGTGCAGCTGTTGCAGAAAAAATGCACAACCTGCGCAAGCGGGTTATGTTTTTTTTCTGCAATAGCTGCAACGTTAATTCCCGTACTAACAAAGAAAATTTATTGTTTATATTTATATCTGTGCAAATAATCATTGAAAGTTAGATTTTGTAGATGAAATGGTGTATTAAAAAAAAATATTGATAAGTACGTCATTGTACGTTTTATTGATGGAACAGCCACTGCTCCAGAAATATGCTAAGAAGTGTTTACGGACTGATAAACGGCAATGGTTTTCTTAAGAAATAAAGGAGATAATATTCAGTAGATGTAAATATTTCGTTACAACATGTACTGAAAATTTATTACAGATTAAATTCGTTATAACGAATTCTATAAAATTGATATAACGAATCAAATTCATTTTTTTTGACGATTCATTATATCAAATGCCAGACTTTGTTGTGAATTGACTTTTATTTTTATATTATTGTAGTGGTTTATATTATTTTAGTGTTAATTAAAAATGATTGAAATACTTAATTGACACATTTGTTTGTAAAGAACTGTTTAGATTGTTTTTCGCATCTGCAATATACATATTATGTGAGAGTCGCGGAGTAAGGAGTTGATCCTTACGTCGCGGGTTCGAATCCCACTGTGGGACGTGGAGACCGGTCCTTCGGATGAGATGTAAACCGAGGTCCCGCGTCGCAGTAGGTGCTGGCACGAAAAAGATTCCTCACTGCTCAATGGCCGTAAGTGCCGAGTATATGACAAAATTTGCAGCTCTCCACCGGCAAGTGGTGGCGTCTCCATATGAGTGAAAAATTCTCTCGAGGGATGTTAAACAACATACAAACAAACAAACATATTATATGCGGAATCCGATCTATGGATCGGATAAATGAAACGTTTTATACATTTCAGTAGAGTTAGAGGGGCGTGTACACGATTTTGAATTTCTCTTTTTTAATTAAAAAATAACTACAGATTAAAAATTTTAACCAATACATGAAAATTCTTAATATTCAGTTGACAAGGGCATTCTTTATAATTTTATATCGAACATCTTGGCTGAGTTCTTAACGTTTTCCCTATCTTTGCTAGCCAAGGGTTTTCGATCCACTCCTCTCCAATATTCTTGGAGAGGAGGGGAGCGGATCGTAAACCCTTGGATAGGGAAGATGCGTTTTAAATGTACCTTATGTGTGCGATTTACTATCATTGAACAGGAACTGACAACACATGGTGGTTTATATGTCCCTGGTTTTGCTTTCTTGCATTTCTTTTCTAACTTTATTTGATTATAGTTTTCATATGTATGTTTTATTAATAAACTACACACCTTAGGCGAACGAGTTTTAGAGGACTCCGGGCAAGTTTTAGAGGAGTTTTCCCTCACAAAAAAATACTATAGTTTACTATAGTTAACTATAGTAAATCAAAGTGTCAAAGTTATCACTAGAGTAAATCAAAGTTTTCAAAGTGATCACTATAGTGTCAAAGTGATCACTATGGTAAATCAAAGTTTTCAAAGTGATCACTATAGTGTCATAGTTATCACTATAGTAAATCAAAGTTTTCACCAAAGTAAATCAAAGTTTTCATAGTTATCACTTTAGTAAATCAAAGTGTCAAAGTTATCACTATAGTAAATCAAAGTTTTCATAGTGTCAAAGTTATCACTATAGTTAACTATAGTAAACTATAGTTAACTACAGTATTTTTTTGTTAGGGTTAGGACTCCGGGAGAATGAGAACGAAAGACGTAAAGGGCGAAAGCGTTTTAGGGCAAACAATAATACATTCATCAACTCATTAACAATCAGTTAAACTAGTTAGAACCGGTTTTTAAAGCCACTTGATTAAAAAAATTCTTAACAAGTGGACTCTTCCATCAATGTACATGTAATGCACGGACTAATAATACAAAATTTTACATACTTTTATCCACTTTATACAAATAATTTACACAGATATAAATATAAATAAAATATCTTTCTTTCTTTGTTAATGCGGGGATACAGTTACCATCATTGCAGAAAAAAATTACATTTGCCGTTTACATGGGTTATGTATTTTTTCTGCAATGCCACAACCGTGATATCCGCATTAACAAAGATAGCTTATTTTAGTAACTACATCTCTAAATGATAATCTAATTTGAATTACATTAAAAATTACAAAAAGAATCAGGAAAATAACATTTATTGTGGCAATAAACATCTATTATGATTTCCTGAACAATACAATGAATACTGTATTAAGACTTAAAAAAAATATGAAGTTAAATATACATGCTTCTACCCACATTTCCGTTTTGGATTTCAATAAATATTTATATTTAAAAATATAAATAAACATGTATGCATATTAGACATTTTGACTTAAAATAAGAACATTGAAGAAAATAGTTAGCTCATGATACATTAAATTTGTAAAATGACTGCAACACCCAGAACGCCGGGAGGGGAGGGGGGGGGCACTTTTTCTGAGTATAGTATTTTGCTATAGTAAATTTTCCTTTATATACTGGTTGGCCCCCTCACTTTTTAGTTAGTTTGGGCCTTTTTTTTTGCTTGTAAGATTTTTTTTTTAAATTTCCCCCCTTCCCACTTTTGAAACCATTGCTACTGGAATTTCCTTTGTAAAGAAAAACAATAAAGTGTATAAAAACAATTGTATTTAGGTACAATGAAATTGCTTAAACTTTGTAACATCTAAAATAATATTTCACTTTTAACACTTTTTTTATATTCCAACATAAAGAGTAGAAAATTGCATCATCAAAATCAAGTTTTTTCTATAATCAGGTATTCTCTACATTTTGAACTACATTTTCATTTCACATGCATTTCACAATATCTCGCAGAAAATTCTGGAATGTTTAGAAGATATAAAAAAGATAAATAAATTCAGTATCACAGTTTGTGGAGTATTTTTTTATAGTTGAAATCAATTTTTCATTCAGCCAGTTAAACCCGTAATTTTTAATGTCCAGGCATCCAAATTAGGCATTTGATTTATAGGTATAACTGGGAACTGGATCTCCATTCCACCACCAGGGTGCGCTTTCCATGTAAAGTTACCCTGGTAACCGAGCATGCTCACTGTAGTGCTTGGGGAAGGAACTGGTGCTCCTAAAACCAGAGTGTTTGTTTTTGGCCAATCAAGCATAATGGCATATACAAATACTCGTCCATTGAGGTATTTAGCAGTGTACCTATATGAATTAAAAATATTCTTCCATGATAGATTTTTGTCATTATTGCACTTGTTTAAAAAAAAACATTGATATTTTGAAACAAATTCAAATAACACATTTCAATGAGAACCTTTGAGCTGCTCACATAGGATCTAACAACACCCTGTTTGTGATCATCTCAGATTTCAAGGCCTTTCATTTTAATAGCTAATCAGTGCATCACTTTCTAAATTATCAGAATTAGTAGTCCAACTAATATAACATGATATGTCAGGAATAAACAAAATGATATTAATAAAGTTTGATAAAATCTAGTTAGCTATAATGCCATACAATCCCTTGAATCTGTACTTTGTCATGTTATCTATTATTTTAGTTTCATGTTAAGAGAATCCTGAACATGCTGAATACCAGAGTAAGCTGTTTGTGTATTAATAAGTCTTATTCCCATTAGCTTACATATGATGTCATTGACACTAATAATTTCTTATTATGTATTTACATAAATGTCAATCTGTCTGAGATTAGTCCAAACTGGATATTGTTAGATCCTATGCCACATCAAAGGATTTAATTTTAATAACCTTGCATTTTCTGCTTATTTTTTCACAGAACTTGATCACTGCTGTGCAAAATGCAAAATAACTGTTCATAACTAACACCCCCCCTTTCCAAAAAAGAAAAGAAAACTGAGTAAAATTGAATTAAATCACAAAAGAATTAAATAAAGGTTTGACAAGAATTACCATAGATTCTCTGCAATAGTATCATTCTGGTGTGACCAGGGCTCTGATCCATATATAGCCTCTCCATTGATAGACAGCCAGGCACCCATCTGTCTGAGTCTCTCCTCCTGAACGGGAGGGATTACACCGTCCTTAGTGGGACCAACGTTGAGCAGGAAGTTTCCCCCACAACTGTAATAAAATAACACTCATGGTTTGAACCACAATGAATATGACTTCATTGCAGAAACTACTCCTTTATTAGTGAGTAGGTGTCCTGTAATCTGACATCATACCTTACAGTCCTGGCCAGGTAAGTAAGCAGCTGGTTTATAGATAAATAATCATCAATCCTGGCCCTGCGTCGGAAACCCCAGGAATACTTGTCCATTTCTCTGGCTTCTTCCCACTTCCTCTTCTGCAATTTACCTAATAAGTCAAAAAGATTACCGTTTAATATCAACATACGGGAAAATGAGCATCTGGACACAGGGGCCGGTAACATATCATGCTTGATTTTAGGAGATCACTATATGCATACAAAACGGAATATAAAGTGATCACATAAAATCAAGGATAGTATGTTACCTGCCCTTGTGCATTTGGGTTTATATTTCATCATCAGCATTATCCGCGACACCACCACTTTCTTAAGTTCAATGGGCTTTATTGTGACTTTTTAGATAAACTTCTCTTGTGATCTTCTTCATGAAAGTTTTAAATTTTCCAAATCTCGTGAAATTTTTGGGTACAATAGTCATGAATTAATTAACAAATAATGCTACCTTATACAAACCTCAAAACTTGTTTTTAATTTTTGTCAGAATAATCAATGTTTTGCTTTTTCGCTACCACTCCCTGTGCATTTAATGTATCTCCAATACAAAAGAGTTCCTATACAGAAGGTAATCAGGATATACAGAAAGTGCCCCTTTTAACATTTGGAGAGAGAGCAACCAGTATGTAGTGTGCTTCATCAATATCATCTACATGTGTTATCAAGTTACCTTGAGGTTAATATACATTAACTTACCTGGATCATACTTATCATCACAATCAAAAAATCCCCCATGTTTACACTGTGTGTTGTTCCCCCATCTGTCATTGACAACAACTTTATCCTTCACTGGACTGAAAGGATAGAAAATCAAAGATGTTTATTTCAAAAACTAATTTTGCAAATTGATAAGCTTTCAAAGATTCCTTAGTCAAGTCCAAAAAGAAAGAAAGTGTTTGACAATCATTATATTTACTTCAGACAAGCAAAGCAATTAATCAGGTCATGTAAGGTCTTGCCACAAAACTAGAGTTAGAGGAACCTGCATCTCATAGTGGGTACACCCTTTACGTTATATAAACCATCTACATTCTGTTAACATAACCCTCCTCTGTATATACCTCTCATTATAAAGCCAGGCCAGGAAGTTAGTAGCATTCCAATACTGATCATCAGCCTCCCAATTTCCATCTGACCAAACAATATCTGGCTTGTATCGATTCACTATGTCATGTAATTCTGGCATCACTTTTGACTACAAATAATGTAAAATTATTTCACACAGTATTCATTCTGGTTGCCTTTAGCATCCTCATTCTGCCATTTTAATAAGACAACCTTACTTTTTTGCTTTAAATGAATAATGCATACCTTATTGATTTTACTCAAAAGGGTTATTATTGCATTAAGTATGTTTCACTACATTTTGAATTTACGAGGGGTGACCAAAAAGTTTGTGAACTAATTGAATTACTTCCATAAAAGAAATAAAATTAAGTTTCAGTGTTCATTATTTTTCAAAGCAGTCCTCTTCCATTTTATTGCACATCTGCCACCGTTCTGTCCATGCACAAATCACATAATACAGACGGTCACGTGACATGCTCCATAGCGTTCTGTTCACTGAAGCTGAAAGATTTTTCTGAGTCCTATATTTCTTACCATGCAATTTATTTTTAATAACAAGAACAGTATATTTGTCAGAAATGGCCAAATGTTGGAAATAGGATGGGTGGATAAGGATATCCTTTCCCAGAATGAGTATTGTGACCATCACAGCCTGAGTCCTATGTCTTGGGAGAGTCATTTTTCCAATGTTGATAAAGTATGGGAGCCTTCTTTCTATCATATCTGATATGTTTAAAGTCTAAAGTAAACAATATTTTAGGGATTCAATAATCATATTATTGTTAAGATATTCAACTATTTTTCAAACTGTAACTTGGTGATCTTTCATAACAAATTGCTCAACTAAGGACACATCTCTTCCCCAACTTGCTTTCACAGGGCACCAGAACAAACATCATTATTAATCATCTCCCTTCCTTCATTAAAACAATCAATCCAATTAATGATTGAACTTCTGGCAAGTCTTTTGTCTTCCTAAACCATGTATAAATTATTATATGATACTACAAAGGAATTTCCAAGATATACAATAAACTTTACAGCCGTTCGATGCTCGAGTACGATTGAGTAAATCATTTTTTGTCACAAGTCACCTACATATTGACGTCATTTTCAGACTGTGACATCACAAACATGGAGAAAAACATTACATAACATCTGCTATTTATACTACATGTTTTATGACTATATGTGTGCCAAATTTCATTCTGATCTAAATTGTGGTTTTGTAAATATAGTTTGCGAACTTTTTGATCACCCCTCGTTTATATAGATTTTTTTCTTCTCATTATCTAAATTTATCGGTCATAAACAAGATGTGTTTGTGAAACACTGAAGTCCCCGTATGGCAACTTATAGCAAAGGTTAAACTTTCTCAAATGCAAACCAAATATGTTGGTACCAATAGTAAGGTCTTGTCTCAAGGAATATACCTGTGAAATATGAGAGCCCTAGCAGCAACCATTGAATAGATATGGAAAAGGTTAAAGTCAAGGTCAAAATTAATGGTGCCTAAGGAAAGGCCTTCTCACAAGAAATATACTGGTGAAATATGAAAGCTGAAGCACCAATCGCTCAAAAGTTATGACCTAGCTTTAACTTTTTCAAAAGTAGGTCAAACTCCAAGGTCAAGTCAATGGATTACAATTGTTGGTATCCAAAGGAAGGTCTTGTTACAAGGATTACACATGTGAAGTATGAAAGCCATAGCACCAACGGTTCAAAAGTTATGGCCAAGGTTAAAGTTTTTCAAAAGTAGGTCAAACTTCAAGGTCAAGGTCAAAGGGTCAAAGTTGTTGGTATCCAAAGGAAGGTCTTGTCACAAGGATTACACATGTGAAGTATGAACGCCCTAGCACCAACGGTTCAATAGTTATGGCCAATGTTAAAGTTTTTTCAAAACTAGGTCAAACTCCAAGGTCAAAGGGTCAAAGTTGGTATCCAAAGAAAGGTCTTGTCACAAGGATTATGCATGTGAAGTATGAAAGCCCTAGCACCAATTGTTCAAAAGTTATGGCCAAGGTTAAAGTTGGGTAAAATTTTGCAAAACTGGGTCAAACTCCAAGGTCAAGGTCAAAAGGTCAAATATGGTGGTACTCAAAGAAAGGTCTTGTCACAAGGAATACATATGTGAAATATGAAAGCCATAGCTTCAACCAATCAAAAGTTGTGGGCAATGTTAAAGTTTTTGCGGACAGACAGACAAACAGACAGGTGAACAGACAGGGCAAAAACTATATACCCCCGAATCTTCGATATGAAGGCATAAAAAAAAAACACTAAATTATCAAATTCATGGTTATGTTCCTCAAAAAAAGTTGAAAAAAGGAGCCCTGCTGCAAAAAGTACAGCAATAGAGAGTGATCCTTCAGTTCACATATAATATGTAACTACAGAAACCAGTACTTCAAAACTTCCAAATTCAAAATTTCCTGATGATGTTTGAAACATATACCTCAACAAAAGACTGGGTCCTGAAGCCGTTAGCTTTGTCCTTGAGGTACAGAGGATGATACCATTCCAGCAGGCAGTAGTACAAACCAAAGTGTATGTCTGTCCTGTTCCTTATTGATCTCTCTAACTCACCTACACATCGGTATAATAAAATATAATTTCAAGACCATAACTGGCAATATTTCTTTGATTTAGGATGAAACAAGTTTTACAAATAATTCAGAGAATATGTTTAAAAATGAGCATTATTTCTTATTTAGTTTTCTAATGTATATGAAAATCTTGCAGTTGACTGTGCCACTTTACTGTACCTCCATTTAATATGGATGGTTGAGAGAGAACCTTGGATCTTGAAGCTGTTTATAACTGCAAGGTATAAATGTCATTACCTACGAGATCCCTGTTTGGCCCAACATCCATAGAATTCCAATTAAATGCTTGCTTTGATGGCCAGTTGCAGAAGCCCTCAGGTTGTTTTGTTATCAGTACAACATACCTGCCAAAATAGATTTTTTTTTTATAAATGGCATTGAAAAATTCATTAGAGGTGTTAATGCCTGTTTTTTTTCACACGTTTTATAACATAGACAATTTTATATCTATGATAAAAAGAGAGAAAAAAAAAACTTGGTTACTTACTTGGCCCCAGAAGCTTTAAATATATCAGCCCACTGATCAGGATTGTAAAATTCGGCAGTAAACATTGGAGCAAAATCTGCATACGTAAAATCTGGTGGATAAAATTTATTCATAAAATCGACAACTTCTGGTATCTTCTCCGTTTTCCATGCATACCAGAACCATTCTGTATAGATGCTAGGGACTGAATACACGCCCCAGGTTATTAAAAGGCCGATTTTAGAATCATCAAACCACGGTGGAAGAGGTCTCGATTCCAGGGACTCCCAGTTAGGCTTATATTTTTGTCCAACAACTACAGACAAGCAGATCAATATAAAAAACAATCGATTCATTGTTGTGAACATCCGAATCCCGAGAATCAAACTCGGCTCCTGCTTCCTTTGTCCACACTGACCACAGCTACAGGTCCCGTGATGTTTATGTAAATTTGAAAGTTAAAAATGAAAGTAAGAATCCACTTAGTGTTTAGATAATTCAATCTTAGTCCATTCGCGCAATGTCCTTTATTCAGAAAACAAAGCTTTTCAAAAATACTAAGTAAAATTGATTTCAATATTCATGTTATGTGTACCCTTAAAATAACTTTATAATTAATTTAACCTTTCATCTGACTTATCAATTAATTGACAAGTTTATATATTGTTCATCAAATCTGCAATAAATCCCATTCTCCTTAAATTACTCTCCACCTTATCATTCTAATAGACATAACTGGGCAACTGTGACTTCACACAAATCAATGACAAGTAAACAGTTTCCAAACTTTTAATTTATTTCTATGAAAGCATATAAAAAATTGTATAGTCATAGAGAAAAGATCATCATAAAATCCCTGAGACTTCTGATTGTTTTAATGCCATCAAATTGTCTCCTACAAAAGCACTTAAATGAGGATGAATTTGTTATTACGAGAGGTTTTAACCCCAGTAATGTTTATACCTGAAGAAAATGTCAGAATTGCCACAGAATATCAATTTTTATGAGGGAGTTCCAGTAATCAATGTGGACTACCGGTACATCAAAATTTAAGCCATTTTTAGTTTCCATTCTTCACCTCCTCCCCTCCCCCAAAATTAAAAATTAAGATTTAATCTTTCTTCATGAAAATTCAATGTTTGATAACCTCAACATCAATCAAAGTATACGGCACTGAATAAAATTGATAATGTAACTTATATACCTTATACAGGGTTATTTTCGCCCCGTATTATTTTCGCCCTTTCACACTTTACACTTTCACAATTTTGCCCAATTTTAAATTCGTCCAGTCACAGTTCTGTATAAAAATTTTTACTGTGTTCTTCGAATTTGCCCCATTTTCAATTCGCCCACCTGTGAGTAGGGCGAAAGAGTCGAAAATAAAAAGGGGGCAAAAATTTCCCTGTATACAGTAACCCCTCCAAAACTTTTTTCATAGGTTGTAAAAATTATTATACTATTAATGTAAATATACAGTGTATTACCTTAATTAAACCTATTTAATGCTACAATTATTCTTTGGGTTTCTTTCCGAACAATGTAAACTAATGCAGTTTAATTATTCCTATTTAAAACAAAAGACATAAAACAAATACAAGTCATGTTCTGCTGCCTGACATAACAAACTGTAAACTTATAACGATTAATTACAGGATCTACTCTCTTTGTTTTTGCTACCACAAAGTAGATCTACGTCTTTTGATGATCCTTTGTTCTGGTTGGAGGATATGTGAGTCCCGACTTCTTTTTCTTGATTTCAATGTCATTTCATCAGCTGAGGAAGTTTTAAAATTAAATGTTATATCTGCATCCACTTTCTTGGATAAGTTTTTTTGTAAAGGACTTCTGCCTGTGGAGCACTTGGATTCAACACTTGAGTTTGAGTTTTCCAAAGGAGATAAATCTTCAAGAACATTTTTGGTGTAAACAAGAATGTACCCCTGGCTCAATAATACTTCCTCTTTGGAACATATTTTTACTCTTGAATCATTGCAATTGATCCATGAATCTGTAAGAGAAATACAATACATTTTTATGTTTACAGAGATTAAAGATGTTTTCAAATAAATGTTGTCCGATCCTGAAAATGCTTTGCCGAGTATATGTACTACATGAACAAAACCTATCAAAGATATAACATCAGTGACTGAAAATAAATATAACGGCATAAAAGTGTGTCAAAAGACAGATTTTTTTTTTCAAAAATATTTACCCGAATTCCTAAAATTTACTAGCTTCATGAACCAGTTTTAGGAAATATTTTTCAGAGCATAAACCTGAATTCCTGAAAACTTACTAGCTTCTGCATTCCAGCAGCAGGCCGTGTAGTGACCACTCCCAAAGCCTCTGCCATGGTGAATGATGACCCCCAACAGATTATATGTATAGCTCTGCCCCTTCTCCATATCTGACTTATCACAGAATGGTTCAACATCTAGGACATCATCAAAAGCTACCTGAGTGGAGATTTTCTCCCTGTGGTTCCTGCCTGACCACCTGTAAATAAAACAGATAAGTGAAAGTAGTGCCAAGTCTTTGACTGATTTTCAACCTTACCCAAAAATTTACATCGCAAAGAAAAAAAAATATCTCTTCAATGAATCTTCTGCACATATTATTTCAGCACAAATTTATATCTACATGAAACAAATTTGGGTTGCCCATGAACATTGACCCCACAAATTAAAATGATTCCATAGTATTTGTCTTAAAATAAAGTTGAAACTTGCACTGGGGAAGCTTAATAAATTATGCTTCACTTCTGTAAATAATTAATTTAAAAACCAACCCTATGTAATTTCTACAAACTAACCTGTTTCTGTGCAGTGTTTACAGACCTTTTTTCTTTTCAATATCTATCACTCCAACCTTTTTAAGATACACTATCTACTAACCTGAATCTTTTGAGGTGCAGTCTTAGCACATTTGGGAGTTTTTTCAGCAGCAGTCTTTTCTGTGCCTCAGTGTAGATAGAATTTGAAGTCCTCTTTTTCCTTCGAGCTTAAAATATTCAATACATGGTACATGAAAAATACTTATGGTGGCAATGGCCACTGAATTTTCTCCATCTTTACAATCCCTTTTTTATGCCCCCATAATCGAAGATTCAGGGGCATATAGTTTTTGCTCTGTCCGTCCGTCTGTCTGTCTGTCTGTCTGTTTGTCCGCAAAAACTTTAACCTTGCCCATAACTTTTGATTGGTTGGAGCTATGACTTTCATATTTCACATGTGTATTCCTTGTGACAAGACCTTTCTTTGGGTACCATAAAATTTGACCATTTGACCTTGACCTTGGAGTTTGACCCACTTTTGCTAAATTTTTTCAGACTTTAACCTTGGCCATAACTTTTGAATAGTTTGTGCTAGGGCTTTCAAACTTCACATGAGTGTACCTTGTGACAAGACCTTCCTTTCGATACCAACAACTTTGACCCTTTGACCTTGACCTTGGAGTTTGACCTACTTTAAAAAAAAAATTACCTTGGCCATAACTTTTGAACAGTTGGTGATAGGGCTTTCATACTTTACATGTGTAATCCTTGTGACAAGCCCTTTCTTTGGATACCAACAACTTTGACCCTTTGACCTTGACTTTTGCAAAACTTTAACCATGGCCATAACTTCTGAACAGTAAGTGCTAGGGCTTTCATACTTCAAATATATGTAACCCTTGTGACAAGACCTTACTTTGGATACCAACAACTTTGACCCTTTGACCTTGGAATTTGACCTACTTTTGAAAGACTTTAACCTTGGCCATTACTTTTGAACAGTTGATGCTAGGGCCTTCATATTTCACGTGTATTTCTTGTGAGAAGGCCTTTCCTTGGGCACCATTAATTTTGACCATTTGAACTTGACCTTGATGTTTGACTCAGTTTTGAAAAACTTTAACCTTTTCCATATCTATTCAATGGTTGCTGCTAGGGTTTTCATATTTCACAGTTATATTCCTCGAAACAAGACCTTACTTTGGGTACCAACATATTTGATTTGCATTTGAGAAAGTTTAACCTTTGTTATAAGTTGCCATACAGGGGCATCAGTCTTTCACAAACACATCTTGTTTTTTTTATAATTTTTGATAAAAATTCTGTAGACTTCTAAAAGCCCACGTTTTATTTTTTGCTTTAATATGGGAAACTACATTTACAAGAATTACACTTACCGTTACAATTTTCACACTGGTAAATCCTCCCCTCTAAAGTTTCTTCTTCTGTAAATTTGTATAACATTTCTAGAAAATAAAGGTTCTTGCCCTTTAGTGACTTATACATATCCACCAATGGGCACATCAAAAGAACTTTTCAAAACCCAACTACATGTACATGTAACTTTGAAGGTTTTTACACTATCAATTTCTGTCACAGATTGACAAATGGCAAGACATTGTGAATTCTGTTTTCGCTAGTTGTTTTTACTGAAAGGGGGGTAAGAAGCTTTTTACAATATGATGAACAATTTACTTTAGTTTCAAGTAATAGTATTAAATTTGATTTTATTTGTCTCCTGGAATGTTATGAAATCATTTTATTGGTACTTTTAATATGTGTATACATATACCTGTAATGTGACAGATGTCCTGAGCTATGCTTGCATTGAGAGATGTAAACTGGTATCTTTCTGGGAATTCCAAAGAGAGATCCATAAATGGCTCCTTTGTTTCCGAAATATTTCCACAAACAAGGCACTTCACCTGTTACATATATTTCAACACTTTGACATTAGTAGAATTCAATGCTCATTCAACCAAATCTGGACCATAATGTTTAACAAACTGCATTTAAATATATATAAATTCATTAAAAGTACATACCTGGCTGACCAGTTCACCTTGAAATATATCTGATATAATGTCAAACAGGTCAAGGTCACACAGCTCATTCTGAGCTTTATCCAACAATTCACTGAAACATGAATGATAAAATTGAATATGTGCAGTAAAAATGCTTCCAAAGAATAAAAGGGAACATGACAATTTTCTGTTGTTGTCTGTAAACATGTATACTGACTTTAGCATTATGAAATTAGGTTTTCGCACTGAATATGTTAGGCATTCAAGCATCATTGCAGTAGTAAGACACCGCTGAAATAATGACCAATAAACATTGGCTGAAGCCACTCTCTGAGTGGTGTCCACAATTAAAGAGATAGAAATTCATAGAAATCATAAAGAGTTCAGCATAGACAAAAGCTTTCCTGCATTTGCAGTATAGAACATGCATAATGTGTGAGATATCAAGCCACTTTATGTTGCTAAACTTGCAATTGACAAAAATAAATAGAAACTTTCTGTACCAGAGGAATTCTTGAGCATCATGCTGGGCATGGCCTTTAAACATGGGGATCCTTTTCCACACGGCCTGGAGGAAGCCATGGGGACTGACCTGTGCCCAATTCCCAGACCATAACACTCGGAAAAGACCATTCAGCTCTTGACAAAGTGATCTGTATAAAAATAAATTTATACGAAAATGACTTCAACCTTGCCACTAGTTTTTGTGTCTATTTGTGGAAATAGAACAGACACAAAGAGCAGTGGCTTACGATGATACAACCTTGATATTTTGGAACTTAAAATCATGGGCTTTTAAAAAGTGTGGAAAATTCTCCCATGAATGTACATGTAGCTCTATGAGATACAAGTGTAGTTTAAATTTATTCATAAATTACAGCACTATAAGGTTATACAAAAATGTATCAGTTACCATCTTATAGAGAAATTAAACCACACTTTATTATCATTAATATACTAACAAAATCATAAGATTACATGTTACTGGATGGCACTTTTTTCTCTACAGATAACAATAGTTTCCCCTTAATAGGCGTGGTCAGTTGTGACCCTCCATTTAAACCTCCTGGTCTCTCTTTGGTAGGGGTCCCTGGATTTCTTTCTGGTGTCATCAAATGCTAAAAAAAAAAATAAAATAAAATGCATATAAATAATAAAACCTGTTTTGTATGACAAACTATCAAATGACTTTGATGTATTGAACTTGTCTCAGCCTTTGATGGTTGAAGATGTATTTCAGCTTGATGTCAAAGGATATTCTACAGAAAATGATGGATTTCATAATGCCACCCCCCCCCCCCCCCCCAAAAAAAAATCAATTTTCAGATCTAACTTTAATGTATGAAACAATTCATTATCCATAAACACATATTTTGAATTCAAATAAAAATACAAAATGATACATGCATATCCACTTAGGTTTACATGTACATGCATTACCTCAAAGCATTCTATAGTGGTTTGTCGACTAAACAGTCTCTTTGCTGGCTTGGAATAGAAATTCTTTGGGGCTCTTGGAGATAGGGTCACCGGAGTTAAAGACTTCCTCCCAACTAAAGAGTGGGGACTGCTCTCAGGGGAGGTAACTCTACTGGGACTAGGCTGGATCTGATGTCGGAAAAAGTCTCGAAATTCCTCTAAGTGGCTGAGAAGAGACAAACTCAATTCATTGTCAATCAAAGACATATACTAATATACTATTTTAAGTAGGCAAGTAATTTACAAAGCTTTACAAAAAGCATTATAAAGTCCTCATAAAACATAAACAAGGATTTTCACTCACATACAATGTAAGTACAGGCTTACCTTAACACCTGAAGTACAGAGTTCATGTAACAGGTGTTGCCAAGATTACGTAAACCAGTCATTCCTGGAATTATGGTTCTCCTTTTAATAACGGGGCTCCATTCCACGGACGACTTTATTTTCCTCTTTTCTGGTGTTCGCTGTATCTGATATAGATCATATTTCATCATTAAAAATAAGAATACTTGAAAATGTTTTGCAAAATTTGGAATCTAACATAGCAGCATGATAAAATATTTTTTGTATTTTCTTTGAGGTTCAGAAATGATACACATTACTTTCACATATACCTTTTCAAAATTGCTCAATTATTTTGCTATCTATGAAATCTCTATTCATAAATTACAATTTTTTGACTTCATTGAGAAAACTAATGCCTGTCAAATATTTACAAGGTTCTAAACCATGGGTTTTACCTCAATGTATTTCCCTTGTGTGTACAATTTCCATGCTATAAATGTCTTCCTCAGTAACACCTGTCTGTGAAAAAAAATATAAATCAGACTTCTGTGGGTTACTGAAAGATTAAATTTTCAAATAAACTGTGTCTCAGATAAAAAATTTCATCGTATAAAAGTTAAATGCTCAGTGTGAGTTTATGACATCTTAAATATACACGGCTGAACATCAGTATCTGGAAAATTTAAATTTGAATGCTGTATACAGGGTTATTTTCAACCCGTATTATTTTCACCCTTTCAGACTTGCAAACTATTTTGCCCCATTTTAAATTTGCCCTGAAAGAGTTTTATAAAAGGGTTAATGCTGTATTCTTGAATTTGCCCCTGCAGTCTAAAATCCCCCACATGTGATGAGGGCAAAGAGGAGAGAATAAAACAGAGGCAATATTTCCCTGTATGCAGTACCATATGTCAGAGTGAGTTGAATTTCCAAACCATTTTTCAATTTATTTTTCTCAGTCCCACTGAGTTCAAGTCAGAAAGGTCTGACTGTATGATATACATGTACATATTATTCCTTTGGAAACATAAAAATTCGGAAATGTTCCTTTCTTTATATCATCACATTAAAAATTAAACTAACTCGAAACTAATTCTGAACATCTTGGCTATATGTCAACATGGTCAATCATTAAGACTATTCTCACTTTCTATGAAAATCTGCTGTAACTATCTTGTCATCTTCATCTGTTCTGGAGCTGCAAAACAAAAATAAATGTTTACGTCAACCCAACATTAACGCCAACATTCATTAAAAAAATACTTGCAGATAATAATGTAAATAAAAATACTTGTAATCCTTTTACAAAATAGTATTAGAATCCCTGATAAGTACAATAATTGGTAAAAAAAAAAATTGTCAGCACAATATGCATGAAATATCTACACTAGTATCTGATTATATATTGCCCATACAATACAATACCATTCTTCAAAATAAAAAAAAATACACAACAAGATGTGTTTATGAAATACTATGCCCCCGATGGTAACACAATTCTAAAGTGGGACGTAGACTACAGTGCAAAACTTATGGCCATAATGTTAAAGTTTTTTCAAATGTAGGTCAAAGGTCACACTTGAGGTCACATTATCAAAAATTTCTGTACCATAGGAAAGGTCTTGTCATAATGAACACTCATGTCAAATATTAAAGCCTTACCCTTGACAGCACAGTAGTTATGGGCTAGGTTAAAGTTTACAACAGACAGAAAATCAGACAGACAGGACAAAAACAATATACCCCAGGGATCTTTCGATCCAGGGGCATAAAAAGAGAAAAGTCCTAAAGATATTAAAGTATGTGCAAATAGTAGCCCTAATACCCGCACAATTGTTACTGTAATTTAAATTTAATACACATGGTCTCTCTTGACCCATTCATAGGTTGTAGGTTAGAATCAGTTTCATCAGAGAAATTTGGCAGTAAACAGAACATTGCTATAGTCTGTTTAAATATCATATGGAACAACTACTACAACGTTTTAAGTAAGCATTATAATTTGCAAGAACACCAAAAAATGAAATGTTCCCAACATTCACAGAAGCTGTGCCTAATTTAATCATACAATTACACATACATCATAGTATAATCTAACACATCATTAACATTCAGGAGGATTTAAAAAAAACTCACGGTGAGACGACAGCAGTGTGGGAGTAAGATCTGAGTAACCTCCTCCCCCGCGACTCCACATCTGTAAAGGTCTGGGTGGCTATAGCACTTAGGGCATTCCTCAGAATCTTCAGATCCCCCGACACATTATCATTCAGGACATAGTCATCACATTGGTAGCTGTTACCATGGTTACAAAAAATAATTGTGTCTTACTAAAGGTCTCGTACATTGTTTAAAACATGCATTTAGGTAAAATTAACAGGTGATTTTCCAAATGGTATAATAATTAGCAATTTTCATTAAGCCAAAATATGTATGTCTTTCACTAAAACAAATCACTTTTTCTTAAATTTTATTCTATGTTTATTTCTTCACAAAAATCTTTTAATTATACTTACCAATATACATATTTCTCATTGACCTCCAGACATAATGGATGCTTGCATAGAAAAAAAGATGCACAAAATAAATGCTCTACAAACAATTAACAAGACATGTGATGCTTTTATCAAGCTTCATAAAAACTTGTGCAAAACAAAAGAAATCGCTGAATTTTATATTCACAGATAATATGCTGCTGTTCAAATCTTTCATTACCTGAGTTTCTTTAAAGTGTTTAAGAGCATGTTCCTCATTGAATCTTCCACATGCTACACTAGGACAACTAAGGCATGCCTACAATGTTTTCAAAATTCAAATAAATTGAAAAATATGATTTTAACACAAAATAATATTGATTACTTTTGCAGTTATCACAAAATTATGGAATACTGAATGGCTATAAACTGCAAAATACTCTGATTACCTCTCTTTGGCAAGTTGATTGAATGGATCGAAGAACATAATTTATAAACAAAAACGTAATATATTAGTGAAACTCAAAATTCCTAGGAAAGAGAACTTAATATAGTTTACAATTACCAGTAATTGAACTTTATACTCATCCTTGACATAACATAAAACTTTGATCAAATATAAAGTTTAATTTTTTTTTCATATCTCTCATACTACAAAAAATTACAGTCTGTATTAAAATTATAGAAACTGCAAACCAAAAATACTTTTATTCTTTTTACATAAAAAAATACGCTGTTATTGAATTAGCAGAAAATTTCAAATATGATATAATATTGCAGTATTTCACATAAACATAAGAAAATCTTAAAAATATGTATTGAAGACATTTTTACAGTTATATTCAATCAATATATACACCTACTAACATCAAGAAGATATATATTTACATGTAATATGAAATTTAAGTGGAAATAAATTATTGAGCTGTAGTATCAATACACTGTAAGTTCTGTAGCACTAATATGTGCTAAGACTGCTAACAAATATCTCAGTTGTAGCAGACTAGGCAAAAATTCAAATTAGCACATCTAGGTTTAAGTTCTTTAAAAACTTAGCCCTCTGGGTCATGGAATTGTTAACCTGCCTGTCAGATTGCCATACAGAAATGACAGTGTATGAGCTGTACGGTAGACAGACATCTCGGCCCAATGACACCTCGGCCCGTCACGCTTGACATCTCGGCCCTGACAGGTCGGCCCAAGATTGTTGACACGTCGGCCCATATAAAAGACACCTCGGCCCAAACAAAATTTTACGATGGAAAAAATTAACAGATTAACCCAGCGCTTGAATTGATATTATCAGTAGCCTGGGAAAAAAATTGGACTCAAACTAGTTATAAGCGACAATAATAAATTTACGAAGGAAAATGTTTTTCTTAAGAAATAAACGAGAAAATATTCCATGGATCTAAATTTAGTTTAATTAATGTCTCCCAATTAAGTCTGCTCGTAATCACACTTGACCCTCCAAAGGATGCGCCGCGGTATTTTGTTTGTTTATCAATTAATTAGCACTCTAATTAATAGCACTGTCTTCTCATTCCTTAAATTAATATCGTCCATGTGCTCGTGGAAGACCTTTTTAAAAAAATCTTGATAGTTTATTCATGTACTTTTTTCAATCAATATTTTAATTTAAGTCCCAAAATTGGAAATATATATATTTCATAGTAAAATTTTGCTTGGGCCGAGGTGTCTTGTGTATGGGCCGACCTGTCTTAAATCTTGGGCCGACCCGTCTGAGCCGAGATGTCATTGGGCCGAAATGTCAATGGGCCGAGGTGTCGTTGGGCTGAGGTGTCGTTCATTCAGCTGTACACATACCCAGACACTCTCTGTAGTTCCACAGGCATAACACATCCACTTTTGGGGATTTAGTATTGAATGGCTCCATTTCTTAATGGCTGATAGATGCTTACAATTGTCCATTTATAACTGAAAGCTAGAAAGAAATTCTAATAATTACCAATAAATATCATATCGGCCCAAGATTAGTTTAAAAATTACAGGTTTGTTGGAAAGAGATTTTGTGAGCTAATATCCTTTTATGAAAAATATAGTTTATAAATCTAAATTCTTCAAAGTGTAATTTCTTGAGTTAAATGGAGAACATTGAACTCCCAGAAAATAAAAATAATTAAACTTAATATAATTTTACCATATTACATTCTGGAATCAGTTTAAAGTTTCAAATTGCATGGAGCAAAAGTGAAACACTGGCTGGAAAATTTGAACATAAAGACTCAAAAGTCTCTTTTAACATTATAACAGCATGTAATTTAATTCTTCTAATGAAATTACATGAAAATTAATTCAAAAATCATAATGTTATTAAGTACTCAGTGCTTTAGTGTGAAAAGCGTAATGACATGCTGGCTATGTCACAGGTACTTGAGTCTTGGTTTATAAATATGTATACCTATTGATATGTAAAAAGAGTACTCTTTAGGTATATGTACATGTACCAGTATGTGGTACATATTTATAGACCAAGACCCAAGTAACCTGTGATTTATGTCTCTGATCTGATGTTTTTATAACAGTTTTAAGTTATATTGATTAAAATTTTCTTCTCAGACTTAACTATCTATATTTCAGTAGCCGCTTTCCGTCATTTCACTAAGCAATTATTTATTATAACACATATGACAATTCTTATAAAGTTCCAATCCCAATGTTCTTTCTATTAAAACCAGAATTTCGCACAAAATTTTGTTGGCAATGGCAGCGCTGGTTGCTCTTTTACGATAGAAATAGATATACATTATACCCTGCTGTTAATATTAAGTCATCAATATATTTTTGTACGCATTTTAACATTAGATGCATGCAAAATCTACCATTCATGCATTATCTGAGGGTGAACTCTACTGCAGACCAGCAGATCCATTCGGTGATCAAATTAATATTATTGAAACCGGAAGTCGAAAGAATATGTAATAAAAAGAAAAAAAATGCAACCGGATATTATTGGATTATAAGTTTAACGAAAAAGAATTAAACGATAATAATGTTATCATGAACGTATAAGAAAAATTCTTCCGGTTTTATAGATTTTTTTTTTCAATGTAATCCTAAAAGCTATAAGCAGAACGGAATAGAAAGTTCAGGGCCGTCATCAGGTTTTTGGAAAGAAGGATGCAGAGTAGTTTTTGGGTGGGATTAAAATATATTATACTCAAGGCTCCCTCTCCTAAGCCCGATCATTCTTATAAAGGGGTTTCATTCGATGAGTTTTGTGCAAAAAAAAAAAAAAAAATTAAACAGATGAATAATGAATTTATTTTGTTTTGAAAACAATTAGTATTTTTAATTCTTTTCGTAAGATTATAAGTGACAATGCTCCAAAAGCACCTTCCTATTTTTTATTTGGTAAATGCACTACAAACACAATCCATACTAAATTAAGGCACAACTGTGTATTGAACCAAGATTTATACAAACGTAATATTATTGACAATCCTTATTGTTCTTGTGGTAAACAAGAAGATGCCTATCATTTTTTCTTTGTTTGTAAAAAATATCTTAATGCTCGAAATAATCTTTTTGACCTTCTTTTTCGACTTGATTTAGATATCATAGATGTACACCTGACTCTGGGGCAACGAAAACCTTTCATTAGAGTTAAACATTGGCATTTTTGCCGCTGTTCACAGATTCATAAATGAATCTTGTAGGTTTAGCTAGATATACTATATTTGCATTTATTTGTATATGTTTTTATTATTATTTTGCATGACAATTATTATGTGTTTTATTAAGGAGAAGAACTCGTAAGTTGTTAGAACTTGTTTCTTATCTTTTTGCTTGTCAATAAAATATGTTCAAAACAATATTTTTGAGATTTACTAAAAGAAATTGTGCGATCGCACAAAATGAATCCATTTTTCTTACGTCTTTGAAGACAATATTGAAACTAGTTTTATTTCAACATTCAAATATGCAATAAACGCGTTAATTTATTTATGCTGTTTGAACATATTTTCAGCACTATTTCATCATAATTGGCAAAACATAGGCCCACTGAGTACATTTTTGGAAGATATGAAGAAAATGTTCACTGCATGTATGTATCTTTCCCCCTTTTTAAAACTGTTCAATAATTGATATAAATTCAGAACTGCGTTCACAGGCAAAAGTTTGTTTCTGTAATAATTTTTTTTTTAACCCAGTATAATTAATCGACTAAGCCAAAATCTGTTTGTTTGTTTGTTTTTGTTTTTTCTTGTTTTTTTTTTTTTTTTTTTTTTTTGAGGGGGGGGGGGGTAATTTAATTATTTCATTCTTTTTTTCTTGACTGAAGAATTCAGTTATGTATATGTAAATATTTGTAATTTCATTATTGTTACAGAAACAAGTTCTTGTAACTGCGTTGTGCAAAAGAACTATCGACAATGCCATTTTTTGTATGTGTTTGGACAATTTATTTCATTCTTTTTTCTTAACTGAAGAATTTAGTTATGTATATGTAAATATTTGTAATTTCATAAAATAATTAAGGTGGCCTGGTTTTAAAAATGTACATGCAAAGTTTTTCGACATTGTAGTTATTATGCATGTTTAAAATATTTTGTAAAACGTTAACAGGTCTCAGTTCTATATTACGGGGAGGAGGGGCAGGTTTGGTCGACCTGGTCGATCTCCACCTTTTTTTTTCAAAGACGACTGAGATTTTCTCTGTTAATTTTGTGCGGAGATTTTCATTCAAAGTCCGCTCACACTTTTTTTTCTCTAGTACGATCGAGCCCTCTAACATTACCTAAAAATTACCAGAAAGCCCGAACCCCCCCCCCCCTTCTCCGATTAAAAATTTTGCGTTTTGCATAAATTTCACTTGTATCAATTGTATTTGTTTTCTTTTTTAATTTGCATGACATATTGTAATATATAATCATAGGTTTACCTTTGAAAGGAATTTGTTGAATTTTTTCAAGGGAAAATATCAAATATGTCTTATACTAAAAAAGTTGAGCTCTGCTTTAATAGCCAATGCTCTGAATTACTGAAAATAACACACTCATTTATTAAAAAAAATGTCATATATCTAGAAATGATTGTATTACATAATTATTGTACAAATGATTGTATCAGTGATTTAATTATGCATAGCTTCACATTAGAATATTGTTTAAATGTATTTTATGTTGTGCCTTTTGCCAATTATTGTAAATGTGTTTGCGCCATAAATATTGTATTGTATATAAGGAGAGGAAGAACTAAGTATAAGTACTTGTTTCTAATCCTTTTGATGTACTCAGTAGAATATGTTCAAAACGACTTTCTGATTAGCTTTTTAAATTGCTTTTGAAGGTTTTTCAAGCTCATCGATGATGATGCAATGATGACCTTGAGCAGTGTAGTTTTTTTTTTTTTTTTTTTTTTTTTTTTAAAGTAGTATATATTGTATTATGATTATTTCATTAACCATGTTTGTTTCATATTGTTTACCAGATGACTGTCCAGAATATATTTAGCCATTTCACAAAATCCCCGTTACTTCAACCAATCAATTAATCAACTATCACTAAAATCACAACATTAATCAGAGATATCTCTGGTTTTATAAACTGGGGATAATCTTATGGAATGTTTAAACGTACGTACTGAATGGCAGAGAACATAACGTATTTTGCAATAACTTAAAGTGAGAACACAGATCTCTCTCTCTCTCTCTCTCTCTCCCCCCCCCCCCAGTATACGAGATTTTTAAAAATGCAATATAGATAATTTTTCACTAAATCTCAGTTAAAAGTCAAGAGACAATGAAATATACTGCCTTTTTCGTGATTTAGTCTGCTATAAAAATGGTCTCCCTACAAAAATGAATGGAATCATCCAGATGTCAATTACATGCTAATGAAACAATTGGAATAAAACTAATTAACTATATGAATTATATAAATCAAGTCAAAAATAAACTGCCGATAGCGATTAATAGGAAAAACTTTTATCGACCTATCTGTAAGGTGAACACCCCTAAAAAGGACGATTCCAAGTCGCTGAGATGTCAACATGGCGGAGGAAAATATGACATCCGCCGTTAGTTCAGAAACAAGTGGGAAAATATTTGAAGATGTGTTTGTCAATGGGTGTACGGATATCATGGACGATAGTGTTAAAGAATCGGATGATGTTCAGACGCCAACCGAGGAAAACCATTCAAATGAACCCATCATGCCACGAAAAAGTAGCTTCATGTGCAAAGATGGGAGCAGAAAACCACCTCGAAAAAAGACCGTATCATTCAGCAGCATGCCTACAGAGCGGAAAATTGCAACAGGTAGATATTTTATCAGGGAGTTGAAAAAATTAACATCACTGTACATGTTCTTTAATCATTTTATCTCAAAGCATTAAATGTAATCATACATTAAAAACCCGAAAACTTCATGAAGTTACTATGCAGCCACGCCAAAGTTAATGCTATCATCTCGCGTCATTGTCGGTATATTATCATCTGTTTAAGTAGTGATCTTTATATTACACATAGTTCCTAAGGCTATGTCATTATACTAAGTACAGAACAATTGGAATTATCTATATTGAGCTGCATGCTGTTTTAATACATCATTACACATGACAGTACCTAACCCTTGAGATCTAACTTTGTCTAATTAAATTGCAGTCAAATAAATGCAGCATTTAGTTTATTGTATGCAGAAAAAAAAAAGAAAAGAAAAGTAACGTATGCACATCTTAATCAAACAAAGTCTTCAAAGACTGCATTTGATTTTCATAATTTGTGGCTAAAGGTGATATGCCAAGCTTCATGTAATTTTTGTTAAAAATTTGCTTAGTGTAAGATTAAGATCGACTCATTAACAAGAGCATTCAGTTTTAGCAAATTCACATATATTCCACATTGTTCCACTACTTATTGAGTGGTCATTGAAAAAAAATACTCACATCCCTAATGTATTTTATGACATAATAAGACTCACATATGAACTTTAGAGGGAGACTTAATTCTTCTTAAAATTGATGTAGGAAAGAAAACGTATACTAATTAGAGACTTTCATTTTTACTTCATAATTTTTGCTTTGCACTTTAAAGATGGTTCTAGTGGTATATATTTGCTGTTTCATGATTATAACTATTTGATCACTTGTATGCAGTTGGGATGTGTTATAAAGATCTGATTCAACATTTACCCCCAACCTCCCATCCCACCCCCACCCCAAAAAACAAACAAATCATTGGTGAATTGTTCAAGTAATGGCACATTAATAAGATTACAAGGATCATTTTTTGGAATGTCTAAAGGAATTATTTCCTAAAAACACACAGTAAGGGAATAAAATCTGCATCCTGAAGAATATGCTTGAAATCACAATAAAAGCCATCCTTTCTGACTAAAGTTTAACATGACTGTATAGATAATTCTGATTTCTCAGCACACTTAAGACGGTGTGTATACAGTTGCACATGAACACAGTGAAAAAAAAATGAGCAAGCCATGTAAATTTTTATTTGTACATCATTTGTCATTCGAAGTCATAGTTTAGACAAGAACTTCTATGATAATGACAACTATGGTGTTAAAAAATATTTTAAATGTCTTTTTACATGGCTTATTGTAATTAAATATGGAGGTAAAATTTATTGGAAACAAATATTTCTTCAAAGTAAAACCAGGAAATGAAGGAAAATATGATAACTTGTTATACTATCTATTATATCATATTTATACTGTTTGACAGCTACCTGAAGGTATTTCATTTATTGAATTGAGTATACATATGCAGTTCACATGTTGGTGCTTAGATAGAATTATTTAATTTTTGAAAAAAGCTTTGATTTAAAACTTAAAAAAAGAAGAGTTAATCCACATTTTTGTTGGTTGTTCACATCTTGAATTGCATACATTATATATTCCACACAGTTTTAAATGTTTTCATAAACACACATTCATAACTAAGGCTATTGAAACAATTACATATAGATTTTTTTTTTCTAGTGAAGACAATACGATATAGAGAATTTTTATTTAGGCTTTTGCTGAATTGAAATGTTTGCTTTACTAATGGCTGGGGCATCAGAATGAGTCAACAATATGGCTAAAAAGGCACTTATAGTTTCCTAAAGTAATCAATGCATTTTCAGAGCAGTACTACGTGTACATATAATTTTATATTATTTTTGGCCATTGTCATGATACTATCTTTCAAATGACACAAATATAGTTGACAACATATATATATCAAATTATTTAAATAAATTACAACTTTCAGTTGTATGTGTCTGATATGAGTCACATTTACATGTTTGCTTTGACTTTTAATTTATTTTGGGAAACAAAAAAATATTTGAATATTACAATAATTGAATGTTTTAATTGGGTTGTTTCATTACAGATATGACATTAAATATCTGCAGCAAACTTATATATTATGCATACATTTAAATTGATTAGTTAGTTCTTAAATCAGAATAAAAGTTGCCCCCACCCCCACTTTATGTAAATTCACTTAATTGCTGTCAAAGCTAGTCATTTTCATATTACTTCAGTGCACAGTTGGTCTTATGATGGCATTTAGTAAGTGTCAGGGTAATCGAGTCCACCATGGTACTAAGTTGTGGTTAACTTTGCCTTGCTGCTAGAGAAACCACAATGAAATCTTTCTGGTATTTAGTCCCCCTTTTGTGGTAAATCTGTAGTACTTTACAAGTTCAGAGTTGATGATATATATACCAGAAGATGTCACTTATGCTGAGCTATCACTTTCCTGTGTTTGACACCTAATTTACAAGGTGAAAACTTCACCTTTACTACAATTTTGTATTCTTGAAGTATAACTGTGATAGCTTATATATTTATAAATGCAGTATTTACATGTAGGACTTAAATTCCATGCAGTGTTTAAATTTGATTCACTGCTTCTATTTAAAAATCAGCATTATGAAGTAATTATGTAATTAATACATGTACATTACATAATAATGCAGACAGGTTCTGTAATTTGATGTATTGTAACAGTGTATTTCCATGCTTTGCAGATGCTATAAATATATCTTCATACTCACTGATGTAATACATATGATAGTAGTGTTCTTAAAAAAATAAAGATTGAAATGGTATTTTAGTGAGGTTGTTAATTAAGTGTCAGAAAATAAGATAAATTTCATTTCAAGAGAACACGTACATTCTTCAGTTCATGACATTTGTGAAATTTTTGCTCATTTTAAAAGCTTTTCATTATTATCATTGCCATCAAAATATTTGAATCCTTTAAAATGGTTGTAGCTAGGATCTAAAACTTGTTTTCTATTCATTCCAATTGAATGTTGTAGATATTTCATTCATGAACAAAGGATTGTTAGTCTCAGATATATTATAATTATCAAATGTGACCCTTGGAGTTTCACATTTAACACATAGATGATTCCCGGCGGGCGAAAATCAACAATGGCATATATACTTAGACATATCAGTGGTTTGTTTGGTGTATGTACATGCATTATTAATTTAAGTATAATGATATTGGAAATCACACATGAAGGTCTAACTATTCTAGACCTTGTGTTGACACTGAGATAGTTTATATATCTAGCACCTTAAACCTTAGAGTTCGATTGCAGCTGTTATTCATACTATAAAACTAACGGTAATTATCATGAAGTTTGTACCTAATGTCCCCTTTAAAACTGTAGCATTTTGTTATGTAAATGCTTGTGCAATATGTTACTGTTTATTTTTATGAGATCGATTTACTCATATCTTATCTAAAAAAAGACACTTGTTCAAATGAATCGATCTTTTGTTTTTTTGCCTTCATGTATCACAGCCCATTCAAAATCTACCAGTACCCGGTACTTTTACCCATCTGAAATCGTGATTGTACTGTCCAGTGTATCCATTGGAGAAAAAATTGATAATATATTTAATTAAAATCATGTCCACAAGGTACCTCCTATTTTTGTAAAAGTACCACCTGTTTCTAATCTTTTTGAAAGCCCTGGTATCATGGTGCTTGTGGGGCGTATGGACTATGGACCCCCCCCCCCCCCCCCCCCAATATTCTGGGTACAGTGTTTAAGTATTTATTCTGCATGATGTTAGCTTCAATATCTTCCTGTTTCTTCATTGACATCATGTACATAAATCCATATTTTGACATACAGAAAAAAAGAAAGGCTAATTGTTAGTAAATTTCCTGTTTCCTCTTGTGTCTAATCTGTGTTGAGTAGATTTTATGTAAATGCTGCCAGTTTTGTTATTTTATAATTTGAATTTATTTTGGGGGTAGGGGGAAACGAAGGGGAGGGGGGATAGGGTGGGGGGGGGGGGTAAGGCAGGTCAACTTTAAATTATATCATATGTACTCATCTTTTTAAACATCTTGCTTAAAATTTAGCTTGTCATCATGACATTGTCTTGGAATAAATGTCTTAAGAGCAGAAGGTCATGATATTTGAGCCCTGACTTTCTTTGAAAATGCAGAGTAGATCTGAACCAGGCAGTAATAAATGCAAAATATTTCCTCCCTAGTTTTTGAAGTACCTACATGTTCTCTGAAAACACTCTGTTCAGTTCATGAAGGCAAGCCCAATTTCTAGTTCAGTAGAACGGCAAACAGTTGACGCTATTTTTTCCTTCTAAATATTCCATTCCATGATTTCCATCTGACCTAAGGACTCAAAAATATGGAACAGTGTACCTTGATTGAATTTTACATTACTTACTTACGTATAGTCCTCTTTGTGCTTTGAGAGCATAAGGCCTGTGAATTTTACATAGATCTGTGTAAATTTTAACGTGATGAATTATCAACATCACTCTGAATGCTACAAAGAAAGCATAAAAAACTAGAAATATGTTCATAGGACATGAATGCTTAGCCAAGATGCATTTGTATTCCCGTTGCAACATGAAAAGAAATGTACCTTCCTTCTAAAAAAATTATGATACAATTTAATTGAAGTTGTATTTAGTACTTATATAAAGTTTAACAAAAACATCTTTAGCCCTTTTTTTGAAACATAGGTAACTGCAAAAAATGAAGTAATAGTGAGGTCAACTTGTCATTAGAAATGTCAGGAAAAGAAAATAATATCACAGATGAATTGCTCTCACCAGTATGCATCTTAGTATGTGAAGTTTGATTAAAATATCTTGAAAGGTGGTGTTGAAGGTCAGGGAAAAGTTAAAGTCATGAGAAATGTCAAGGTTGGAAAATTATGACAAAGTTGAATAACTCTCATCAATTTGAATTAGTGTATGAAGTTTGATGAAAGTATTATGAACAGTTTTTTTTTTGAATTGTGCTAAATGCAGAACAATTAATTGTGAGGTTCAAGGTCATGGAAGTCATAGTAAATTTTTTTGACACAATCAAATAGCTCTAATCAATTTATTTCTTATGAAGTTAGATGAGAATATGTTGAACAGTTTCTTTGAAACTGAGAGAATTAGATAATGAGGAATAGTGGGACAAGGTCAAAAGGAAGATCAAGGGCATAAAGTTCTGACACAGTCGAATAGCCCATTTAAATTTGTAATTGTATATTTGATAGATGATTCATAAAAATATCAAGAACAATTTCTTTGAAACTAAGATAAATGCAAAATGACAAATAGTGGGACAAATGTCCTATGGAAGGTCAAGGTCAGAAAATTAAGACGGTTGTCTGAATAGTCCCTACCAATATATTTATCAGTATATGAAGTTTTGATGAAAATATTAACAAGATTATGAACAGTTTCTTCTAAACTAAGTGTTGAATGACAAATAAATAATAGTGAGGTCAAGGTCATAGAGAAGGTCATTATCAGAAAATTATGACACAGTTGAATACATCCCACCAATATGTATCATCATATGAGTTTTGATAAAATCATCTTAAATAAAATGCCTGGTAGCATCTTTGAAACTGAGTGAAACACAAAATAAGGAATACAGAAGTCAAGGTCACAAAATTATTCCACAGTTGAATAGCACTCATAAATATGTACATGTATTGGTATTTGAATTTTGGTTAAAATGTCTTGAATAGTTTCTTTCAAACTGAGGTAAGTGCAAAGTGTGACACAAAGACTGAAGGACAGAAGTGTGGAAACATGAAAAGATGGCAGACAGACATGACAAAACACTATTTAACTCTGTCATATTCATGGTGGGGCAAAGAAATATTTTAAACTTTGTATTTCTCATCTTCAAAGATATATGATTTGTTCCATCAAAACATGATAGCAGTTCCTTTCTGTTGTACCCAGACATTCAAAGTTGGATGTAATCATTAGAGCCCATTATTAGCATTTCAGAGCAGCCTGTACTATACATATACTGGGCAAGAAAGTAATGTGTCTGACTAGACTCAGCATAATATGTAGGAAAAAAATAAACATTATACTCTGGAGGAGCCATTGAAGCAGACCAGGGTTTATTCTTGGAAACATCTCTCGACATTTGATCTATATATGTAGATCTGAAGGTTGAGCAATGGGAGGAAATACTTTACTTTCAGGGGTTATTGGGAAACAAGATATTTACCACATTGATTTTAGGTTTCTATCAAGTCATTGCGTTTCGTGTATAATACATATGTAAATGCAGAAGAATTGAGACTGGTTATTACATGAATGATATCCGTGTTTAGTATGTATGAGAATTCTATATCAAATCTCTCAGAAAAAAATGCTTACGCAGATGGAAATCCGTTATTTAAGGTTGTCATCTAGTACTGAATGATTGGTCATTGTTGAAATAAGGAAGTCAGACTCAAGGAATATAGTAGGTACAGTCAAAGCTTGTTGTCTCAAACATGAAGGGACCGAGAAAATACTTTGAGATAACCGAAGATTCGAGATATCCAGGGTAAAATACTTAAGGAATAAGCAGTTGGGATTTCAAAATCACTTCGACATATCCATGGTATTTGAGATATCCGTGTTCGAGAAACCGAAGTTCAACTGTACAATGTGTATATAAAAGTATGCTAGTATATTATATAGTATGGGATTAAATTTTTAATGTCAGCATTCACTTTTATTTATTCATATTATATATCATCAGTCATTGACAGAATTATAGGAACCAAGCTAAAGTATTGATGAATATTAGTTTTATTTCCGGATTTCCTCCATCTAAAATAACACCCACTTACATTATGTAATAAAAACCTATTTTTGATTTTAGCAAGTTTTACTTGAATAAATGGTACAACTAATTAACCCAGTATTGAGTTTGTATATGTATTTGTCATCATTTCCTTGTAGTTAAAATTTGTTTCTCCCTTTTAAGTATCCAATAACCTAGCCCAGTAACATACTCATGGGGGAGATAATTTGCTTCCTGCTGTGTTTTGGTTCAGAAGCAGTTGTAAAATTAAAGAAATGATCATATTTTTTTTGTAAAAATCAAGTTTACTGTCTTTGCACTAAAAGTTTAACCCCTGAATTCTCAGACGAAGATATTTATACAAGAAATGGTGTTAAAACTGCAGACACATTGTTATTTATTTTTGTAGCTGATGCTGACTCTGAGTAATTGATGATGATTGAAGGTGATTTTTGGTGTCATAAGTGAACCAACCTCTTTGTGTTTTTGTAGCTCAAGACTGTCTTCAATGTATGCAGAGCGGCAGCGAATTAATAAAAGTCCGGTCCAACAGTCGTCAATACCATCGTATATTTACACTCAACCCAGACATGACAGAAATCCGTTGGCAGCCGACATCCAAAAAACCCCACAAAGCCCGAAGTAAGTAAACAGATTACATAAAATGTAATAGGAGGGCTCTAAGTAAGTTTTTTAAAAAAAAAAATCTCTGCAAAGCCCCAAACCCCCACCCAAAACACACATCACACACACCCCAAAAATAATTTAAAGAGGTCCCCCAAAAAACTTCAAAATCTGAAGTAATTTCAGAGAGTATACAGGTTTTGTAGTGCTTTATTCATGCTTTTTTTGTAAACTTGGTTAAATTTCTGGATCAGGATTTTTGTCTGCTTATAATACATGTATGTGGGAAGTTCTACTTACAATGCAGCTGTCCAATCAAGCATTTTTCTTAACTTGAAAAATTTTAAATGTTGACCCTCAGAAGTTAACTCTTAGTTTTTATGCTTTCAATTTTTGCATTTCCAATCAACAGGTTACAATGAAGGTAGAGGGGTATAAATATTGTGTGATTCTATTTTATTGCAAAATCCTGTAGAAATTACAGAACCACAGAAAAAAAAATCTGAACATTCAAAATTACAAGCAAAATCCATATGTATAATTCTTAACAATTAAACCTCTCCCTATTTGATCATCTGGCAGAGTCTCTTTGAATAGTCTGCTCATGCATACACATCTTCATTTTGATTATATTATACAGTTTTCAGAAATATACCCTAAAGATACTGTTCTCCTTTAATTAAATTCATTTATTAATCAGCGGAACACATTTCATTTCTCATCACTACACATATAAGCATATGAGCCTATTGGTCAAGTGACTGTCCAGAAGAAAGGCAAAGCTGTATCCGATATTGATTAAACAATTGGGACTTAATACTTCCATCGGACAGTTAGCATGTTTAACATTATTGAGGATGACAGAACTTTCTCATTACCACGGCCACTTATTGGTTAGAGCCGTATATGCACACACAATGAAACATACAGCTTAAACGGTATTTCCTAGCACAAAGCTCCTAAGAGTTCAAGGTAGAGGCTCTATGTATGGAACTTTTATATTAAAGTCAGAGTTGATGAGTGTTAAAGATGTTCATTAAAGAAAAAAAAAATACCTGTTTATACAGTTAGTGAGAAATTTTAAATGTTGTATAGTAGAACATGATTAAAGGGAACCTGCTGATAATGAATTTATGCATATAGTGAATGGATTTTCATTCCCTGTAGATTTAAGACATATGCACTAGTTGTATATGCATGATTTAATGAAGTTCATTTTTAACAAATTTATTTGTCCATGACACTTCATATTATAAGTGTGTCTTAATGTATAAAGAAACTTAAACAAAGGCTCTTCAACCAACATTAGCTCTCATTTCTTGTAAATATTTGCTAAAATTTGTGAATTACGTACTGATAATATTAAAGAATTTTTACTTTGAATCCCATTCATTAGCTTAAGATTAATGATTGCATGTACACTTCAGCATCTGAAAAACTATATTCAGTAACAATTTACACATTACACATGTTACATGTGTTATCACAGTCTGACTTAAAAGCTTTCACTTTAGATGATTCTTTGATTCCTAATATAGCAGATAATTTTGATTAAGACTTGATAAGCTATCTCGTTTTTTAAATTTGATAATGTCAGATTTTCATTCATATTGACTATGAATCATAATTTGTTTGCAAGACATGTGTATTCCTTTTGACAATACCTTTTTTAACTCTTCTGAGCAAAAGGCTCAAAGAGCTAATGCTATGGCCATTTGTGCGGTGTGCGGTGTGCGTAAACTTTTTAGAATATGGGCCATAACTCAAGAACCCCTTGGCCAATTATTGTCAAATTTGTCACAGGGTATCCTTGGCCCAAGGGCTCCCTTTTATACTAAAACTGGGATTGTGACCCTTTAACAAGGGGAGATAATTAGGAAAATAGAAAAAAAAGTACTGGTTGCTAAAAAATCTTCTTCTCAAGAACCACTGGGCAGATTATCACCAAACTTACACAAAAGGATGAGGATATGTTGTAGATTAAAATTTGCACAGGGATTTACTCTGGGGCAAAGGGCGTGGTCTCAAGGTCACTTCAAAGTTGACCAAAAATTACATTTTATTAAAATGTTGATATTTTGCTTACTATAAGGACTAGGATCATCAAATCTTGTCAGTTGGTGCATCTAAGGACCTCATATCATGTTGACTCAAAAGTAGGTCACGGTGACCTACTTTTTAAATTTTGCGGCCATTCTTTTTCAAAGTGATTTAGAGGCATATTTTGAACAATTTAAGGCCTATGATCATCAAACTTTGTCAGTTGATGCATCTTGGGTCCTCAAAGTACGTCAACTAAAAAGTAGGTCACCTTGACCTACTTTTTGAATTTTATGGCTAATCTTTTTTAAAACAATTAAGGTCATTAATTCGAATACGGGGAGGCTTAGAATCATTAAATCTTGTAAGATGATGCATCTTGGGGCCATAAAACATATTTATTAAAAAGTAGGTCACAGTGACCTACTTTTTGAACTTTGCAGGCATTCGATTTCAAAGTGTTTTAGAGGCATAATTTGGACATTTTAAGTCCTATGATCATAAAACTTTGTAAGTTGATGCATCTTGGGTCCTCAAAAAAGGTCAACTGAAAAGTAGGTCACCGTGACCTACTTTTCAATTTATATGACTAAAATTAAATATTTCAGGCACTAATTGGCTTAGAATCATCAAACTTTGTCAGTTGATGCATCTTGGGTCTTCGGAGTAGGTCGACTAAAAAGTAGGTCACCGTGACCTACTTTTGAAAATTTATGGCTTTAATTAAATATTTCAGGTACTAATTGGCTTAGAATCATCAAACTTTGTCAGTTGATGCGTCATGGGTCTTCGGAGTAGGTCGACTAAAAAGTAGGTCACCGTGACCTACTTTCGGAAAATTTATGGCTTTAATCAAATATTTCAGGTACTAATTGGCTTAGAATCATAAAACTTTGTCAGTTTATGCGTCATGGGTCCTCGGAGTACAACAACTGAAAAGTAGGTCACGGTGACCTACTTTTGAAAATTTATGGCTTTAATCAAATATTTCAGGTACTAATTGGCTTAGAATCATTAAACTTTGTCAGTTGATGCGTCTTGGGTCTTCAGAGTACAACAACTGAAAAGTAGGTCACGGTGACCTACTTTTGAAATTTTATGGCTGTATTTAATATTTTCAGGAATTATTTGGCTTAGAATCGTCAAAATTTGTCAGTTGAAGCACCTTTTGTCCTCGGAGTAGGTTGACTGAAAAGTAGGTCACGGTGACCTATTTTTGAAAATTTATGGCTTTAATTAAATATTACAGGTACTAATTGGCTTAGAATCATCAAACTTTGTCAGTTGATGCATCTTGGGTCCTTGGAGTAAAACAATTGAAAAGTAGGTCACTTTGAGCTACTTATAAAATTTTATGATTATAATTTTAAAAAACATTTTAGGTATTAATTGGCTTAGAATCATCAAACTTAGTTGATGGGTCCTCAGAGAATGACAAGTGATAAGTAGGTCACCATGACCAACTCTCAGGTACTAATTGGCATAGAATCATCTTGGGTTCTCAGAGTGTGAATTGGAATTTCAAGGGTTTATGTAAATATACAGGATACTTCGAAGCTTCAAATAGAAGTGATAGGTTGTACAGTTTATCAGAAGAGCGATTCAAGGCCCATGGGCCTCTTGTTTTGGTTACTAATAACTTGACCTTGGAGTTTGACCTACTTTTGAAAAACTTTAACCTTGTGCTATAAGTTTAATGCTTTGGAGGTAGGGCTTTCATACTTCACATGTTTATTCCTTGTGACAAGACATTTCCTTATGTGCAAATAACTTTAACTTTGACCTTGGAGCTTGACATACTTTTGAAAAACTTGAACCTTGGCCATAACTTTTGAATGGTTGGTGCTATGGCTGTCATATTTCACAGATGTATTCCTTGTGACAAGACCTTTTCTTAAGTACAAAGATTTTTAACCTCACGATGTTAACCTTGGAGTTTGACTTACTTTTGAAAAATTTGATCTGACCGTAATTTCTTAAGGTTGGTGCTGTGGCTTTCATATTTCACAGGTGTATTCTTTGTAACAAGACTTTTCTTTTAGTACCAACACTTTTAATCCCTTGACCTTGACCTTGGAGTTTGACTTGCATTTGAGCAACTTTAACCTTAGCCATGAGCTGCCATATGGAGGCGTCAGTGTTTCAGAAACACATCTTTATTCTTTTTTCTGTATACAGGGTTATTTTCGCACACTTGCAAACAGTTTTGCCCATTTTAAATTCACCAAGACACATGCAGTTCTGATAAAGTAAAACCTTGGCTTTCTCTGAATTCATACCATTTGAAATTCATCCATTATGCTATGAAAGGGGCGAAAAATTCTTTGCATACAGTACATGTTTGTTATATAGATTAGTGCTTGTTTTATATCTTTTAACTTTATTAGGTGAAATGAATTAATAAACTTTGAAGGATTCCATAATTATAATGCTGAAGTAATGGCATGAGATATTCCCAAATATCTACTATCAGAAGTTAACGACAAATATAAGTTAAAAAAAAAGTGCCCTTTTTATCTTGCACCCCTCCATTATCAGATCCTAGGTGGAACACTGGTATATAGTACACATTGTATTAAGCTTATGTTTTGGACTTTCAATTTAGCCAATTAATTGAAAAAGCTCTAGTTGGCTGAACAATGTTCATGATGCTGAAACGAAAATTATCCCTTCATTAAATGTAGTGTTGTGTAAATATCGTTTTCTAGCATTTAGATAGAGTAATCATCCTCAATAAGGTCATTTGGGCAGTTTATTTGTAATTTTATGGCAACTAGATGAATGAGTGGAAATGGTAAGTTGACTGTAGGAGTGTTTCTTAAGCTCTTTTTATGCCCCCATATCGAAGATTCGGGGGTATATAGTTTTTGCCCTCTCCGTCCGTCTGTCTGTTTGTCTGCAAAAACTTTAACCTTGCCCATAACTTTTGATTGGTTGGAGCTATGACTTTCATATTTCACATGTGTATTCCTTGTGACAAGACCTTTCTTTGGATACCATCTTATTTGACCTTTTTACCTTGGAGTTTGACCCACTTTTGCAAAATTTTATGAGACTTTAACCTTGACCAAAACTTTTGAACAGTTGGAGCTTGGGCTTTCAAACTTCACATGTGTATTCCTTGTGACAAGACCTTCCTTTGGATACCAACCACTTTGACCCTTTGACCTTGACCCAGGAGTTTGACATACTTTTGGAAAACTTTAACCTTAGCTATAACTTTTAAACATTTTGTGCTAGGGCTTTCATACTTCACATGTGCATTCCTTGTGACAAGACTTTCCTTTGGATACCAACAATTTTGGCATTGACCTTGACCTTGGAGTTTGACCTTCTTTTAAAAAACTTTAACCTTGGTCATAACATTTGGTTCTAGGGCTTTCACATTTTACGAACATGTGTATCACTCGTGACAAGACCTTCCCTTGGGGCCCCATTTGACCTTGACGTTTTACTTACTTTTAAAAAACTTATACCTTCGCCACAACTTTTGAAGAGTTGGTGCTAGGGCTTTCATATTTCACAGGTATATTCCTAGAGACAAGACCTTTCTTTGGGTATCAACATTTTTGATCTCTTGACCTGGAGTTTGACTTGCACTTGAGAAACTTTAACCTTCGCTATGAGCTGCCATATGGGGGGCATCAGTGTTTCACAGACACATCTTGTTTTTTTATGAAGCTCTACATGTCTTAATTTTTCAGTATAACTATAGGCATTTTAAAACTTTGGAATAGAGTGATCATGGACTAGTGAAAATATAATTTAGACTAGCTTTAAAAAGAAAAAAAATCTTTCCTTTTTCCAGATATGCCTGTAAGCAAGGTGGTTGTCCTTAAGACCTGGGGCCAAGGAATTTCCTTGCTTATAATGATGTTATCCCCCAATTAATCTGGTATTCCCCCTAAACCCCCTGTTAGGGAAGGAACCCGAGACCCCCTTCTACTTTTTTAATGTCCCCTGCTATTTCAGTTCTTAGGGACAACCTTGATGAAGTTAGATAATCTGCTTTATCAATATAAGACTCAGAAAAATGATTTTGCTGACATCCTAAAGATCATGAGTCATTGAGATGTATACTGTAAAAAAAAACCCCTATCTTTTAATAAAAGTAATTTTCTTATTAAGCAGAAGCTTACTCAATAAATTAATAATCTGGACTTCAGCAAAAGTGTCCTGGAATGACCCAGGTGTCAAAGTAGTAATCTTATATCTGTAGTGCCGATATTTGTTTTTTAATCCTTCATTAATACAATACTTTGCATTCATTTTACATGTCAAAGACCAGCAATAATTTAATCTCTTTAATCATTATGTCTGCAAATTAATATACTTATCTTAAGGAATTACACTTAAGTATAAATATATGTATATTTCTGTGTGTGTATGTGTGTGGTTTATCAGTAATGTTGTAAAATTAGCAGTATTAGAAAGGGACAATGTTTGGAGAATGTGTCTGGACAGAGAAGCTATTATGAGGAAATGATTGTAAACCTTTAGTTTTCTTATCTTAATTACCTGTTAAAGATGACATCAAAGGCTTTCAATATGTAGATCTCTTCCTGGAGATGTGTGCTATCGGCAGCTAGTGTACAGATTCTTATTATTTCAGCTGCAAGGTGGAGAATCGGAGAGATATTAGAACATATTTCAGTCAACTCATGCAGCAAATATCCTGTAAGATATATTCCCCTCCCCTTGTATAGGAAGGCAATCATAATTAACTCGTAATGCAGCAGATAGCTAACATTCAGACCGACTGTCACAACTTATGGTTTAGAGGTTTGACTGATAGGCATCAAATATTTATGCTGTCAAATTAGATTAGACTGTCTTCATATCAACAATTTGCATCATTGGAGACATTATAAAAGTACATTAATTCTATTAATATGATTCAGTGCATTAATGCATCATTGAGGTTCCGTCATGAGACAAAATGTGCTCTAGTTCACCCGTACCACAATGGGTTGTAATTTGGCTCACATACAGGTTACTGTCAACAATTTAGTTACTTTTGCATCATAAAATATTTTTATTTGTTATAGATGACTAATTTATAGATTGATAGATTATTAGTATATTTACTGTGAAAGGTCTTACTTGGAGAAGTAAACTTAGTTTATATCGTTTTATTGAATCATCAGAATTGCAGGAACATTTAGCTAATGCACACTACGTCAGAAAAAGTAGTATATTAGTTTTCATACGGTTGAAATTTTTCATTGCATTAAAAGTCAATACTGGTGATTATAAATGTATTAATAGGAAAACAACGTATACATACTTTTTTTCTTAATTGTAATATTTGAAGAAAAAAATTCTTTTACTTTATAGCTATGATAAATTGTGGAAGAAAATGTTTCAACATGGGGAAAGTTCTTTTTTTTAAATTGAGCAGAGTGCACAAAGTATATATAATTTTATCCCATGTTTACCCCTTTATCACGTGGATATGACTCATTGGATAAATTTTTCATAATCCACAGTTGTGACGTCACAATGGTTTTTGCGTTAGCGCGATGAAGTAAAATAAAGTGGAGTCCTATATAAAACAGTGTAAAACATTGGTTGTGAAGTATTAAACATGTGATAAAAAGAATCTCCCATGATTTGTAGTTGGATATGACTTTTATCCAACTCGTTGTGTGTTTTTATCCCCTCGCCAAGGCTCGGGGATAAAAAACACACAACTCGTTGGATAAAAATCATATCCAACTACAAATCATGGGAGATCCTATATATATAAAGTGACTGTAATCATACTTATTTTTATGTGTGGGATTAATTTATGCTTTAATGTATGTGATCACAATTAAATTGTACGAGAAACTTGTCACAGCCTACTTAAAGTACATACAAAGTGAGTCGAAGAAATTCGCATAATTTTCTACCCATGGATTGAGCAGAAATCATAATTCTGTGGAATAATAACTCCATGAAAAAAGGTACATTTACACTATATATTTTTTTTGCTTGCAGTATCCATTGCTTCCATAAAAGAAGTCAGAGGTGGAAAAACCACAGAGGCCCTGAAGAATAAGGAAATAGCAGGGATTTATCAAGATGAGTGTGCTTTCTCTATCATCTTTGGTGAGGACTTTGAATCCATGGATCTCATTGCTAATACTCCAGATGAAGCCAATATATGGATTACTGGACTCACATGTCTCATCAACACAAGTGCCAAAACCGGAACACGTAAGGACAGAGTTTCACTTTAACAAGAAGTAGAAAGGGGGGTCAAATTTTTGTGGATGTTTATTTTTGGGAAGATGGTTAAATTAAGAAAGAACATAGTTTTTGCATTCTTGGTCCTAATTTTGTAGGATTTTATATATAAATATATCCTATTATCTGTGCTCCATGAAGTAACATGTCTACCCCAAATAAAGGGGGAAGAGTTAATTTAAATCATTTTGTATGATAGAAATATTTGGATATATATTTTTATACATATGATACAACATCAGTATGGTAGTAGTGTACAAAGGTCAGTTCAAAAAAAGCTATTTATAGTCCAGTTTTTTAAATGCAGGCATATGGTAATTGCATATATATATACTGGTACAATATTTTGTTACATAGATAACACATTGTAGGAATAACATTGCTTGTAAACTAAGATGCCTATCCTAAAGTCAGCTTGTATTAAGAGATGAGGAAAAACAATTTTATATCAGGAAATCATTTACATTTTATGTTTTTTATAGTCCTTATTATGCTAGCTCCCAAAGCCAAAATTCCAATACAAAAAAGATAGTTCAATACTGCTTCATGCACCTAGTCTTATCTAGGTTCCAGAGCAGTGCCATTCTCCATCGACTCTTGGTCTTTTGGATGTTTTAATTGCTTCTGAAGATGCTCTCAGGATCTCCAGTGTAAACACTGGTGTGAGCACAATGTTGACTCTCTGTCTGATGATAAAATATGACAAGGAGATAAAGCCGACAACTCAGGACAGTCAACTACTGACGGCCCTGGCTGATTCATTTCCTCTTGACAAAGTCATAAGTTTCCAGGATGATAATTGTTAGTTTCCTTTATTGAGGTATAAACAAACCACAGCTCGTAACAATGTGCAGTTTTATTATAAAGAGCTGCGTGCCCAACTCCTGGTTGTACACATAATCATTTTGTTGTTGTTTGTATATAAATAAATGGAAAACTGTGCAGCTTGGAGACATGATACGCAAATCAAAATAATTAGAAAATGCTCGGGTTTATAGGGTACCAAAAGGTGCCATAATGGTGTTGTTCTAGATAGGGAACTAAATTAAAATTTGTACTCTCGTGTATATATAATTTTACCATAATTGTTACATTAAGTGCATATATCTTTCAGAAATTGTAAAAATTATGTCACTTCATTTCAGAGAAATGCAAAGGTTGATTTCACAATAACAGTGTTTTCTGTTCATAATTACATATTGTATGAGTTCAACAATTGTGACAGAGTTGTTGATTTCTATGTAGCTATTTAAAAGTGAATCTATGTTTGATAATTGGAGAGGAAAATTTAACTTCAGTCAGCTGTGTATTATAGCGACCATTTGTCTCATTAAGAGGGAAGAAGATCGAGATCTCAGTCCATCTTTGCCTGCAGTTATAAATTTTTCATTATTTGTAAATCAGCTAAGCATGCATACAACTATAAGGCATGACAATTGAAATTAATTTTTCTTTTATCTTTCCAGCCCCTGAAGCCATTGAAGAAATGCAACAAATGAGAGATTCATATCCTTTGTTTAGTGCTAATTTATTTTATGTACTAGATACCTTTCATGTTATATTTCAAACAAAGTTATTTGTACATACAGGTATATATATTTTTAGTTCATTTCCTCAAATAAGATATATAAATACCAGGTAAGTTCCTGTAAAATCATTTCCCTAATAATGGAACACTGGTTGAATTACCAGTCAGTTTGAACATTAAAAATATCAGTCAGGAAAAAAATAAAACATTATAAAAAGCAACAATGTTGCAAGAAATTCATGTTCAGGTGATATATTGATACTGTTTGCCGCTATGGATCAACTAGTGTGATTAACTTGTATATCACAAAGATTCAGTAGAAGCTGTTTGGGTGTAAAACTGTCATATGCCAATGAACTGCCAAGATAGCATCTTCTAAGACATTGAACTGGATGAGGTTGCATTTTCTTTCAGTAAATACCAAAATAAAAAGGTTTCTTTAGAATATTGAAAGAAGAAAACACACCTATATAGCTAATGCATCCATCAAGTGATGATTTTTTTTTAGCAATTTATTCTTAATTTTCAACAAACGTTTGCCAACATCTTTAATGTGTTTTATTATTTTTGCTAATGTATATTATGATTTTACCAGGAATATTAAGTGCATTTCTTTTTTTTTCCCTTTCACAATTTTAGCTTTGATCACAGGATGTTCATGAGAAGATTTTAAGAAATAGTTGTGTACTGTTAATTTTGAGCTGTTTTTGCTACAGTTTACAAATCTTTAGACTGTAGCAAAAGGAATTAGATATATATAGAATAGCATTTTCTATGATGTTTGGAATTTTTATTTTTGCACAATAGAAGATTTCAAGAGCATTATAATTTGATGAATCTATCAATACCTTGGACTTTTAAAAGATGGTAACATGCTTATATTTACGTCACACTGAACAGTCAAACAGTGATATAGACTGTGTATGTCACACCTGAACAAGGGATAGCAGAGGAAAATCGAGTTAAGTTGGTGCAAATGTTGTTTCCTATGACCATGTATGTCATCTCATTGCTCTTCATTAACAACTGAAAATTCGAGCTATCGATAGAAATGTCTCATTCAAAAGCATTCATTTTTGAAATTTGTTTTTCTTTTTTTAAATTTCCCTTTGAACTCTTTTTTTTTTTTTTTAAATTTTTTTAAAAATTCCCCTTCTAAATAGGACATCACAAATGTTTCACATACCAGAATAAACTAAGTCATAAAAGCTTTACATCTAACAAAGTATGCAGCATTTATACTTTAGATCAATTGCTTTTAAAGGATTAAAGCATATAATTATATATATATAATATATTCAAAGAAAATTAGTTTGTTGCATTATAAAACTTATTGATGATTATTTATACAATTTTTTCTGTATATAAGGTGCCAAGTAATGCATAACCAAAATAAATTCACATCTGATGTGCATTATCTGAAATGATTTGAATATTTTGTGTTAAGTGAGAGTCATTATACATGTTTGAGAATTTTTTTAAACAAAATTTTAATAAAATTCAAGCTTGAGTAATTCTTTCTTCTATATAATATTCAATTATTAGTTTACTAGATAAAATCAATGTTGATATGCCTGTTTTCAGATATTGATATAATAAATCTACTGAAGGAAAAATTATCAACCTTAACTCAATAATCACATGGCTACAGGAAATGTTTGAAACTGAGGCTAGCCAATCAGCAGGGACTCTGGACGAAAAGGGTGTGGTCAATTTAGTCGCCAAACTCAATAGCAATATTGCCACAGCTAGAGTCCAACAAAAAGTCAAGGTAGGTTCCCCATAAAAAATACAGTCAAACCTCATTATCTCAAACTTCAAATTTCTAGATATCCAGCATTTGAGATACTGAGGTTAAAATACATAGAGAAAAAGTGGTTGGAGCTTCCAGTTTACTTGAGAAGTCCATTGTATCCTAGATATCCAGATGCCAAAGTTTAACTCATATATTCTGCAGCCAGGAAATGCTTATTTATATAAAGATGATTTATGGCTACTAAGCTACTACTCAATGCAATGAATTTAGAAATATTTGTACATATGGATACAATTGTTTTCCAAAGGATTATATTCTCTAATGACCAATATATGCCCCCCCCCCCCTCCAGTAAAACTTTGATGGAGAAGTCTATGATTTATTTTTAAACCAAGTGGATATCCACAGACTTGAAAGCATAACCAATTTTTCAACAGCTATGATGTCATATATTAAATATTACGTCAAGAAGATGACGAAAATTCACTATTTCAATGATTTTGAGAGAGAAAGGTATATTTGACGTCAATGTTTTGATTAAATGTTGTGGAGTGCAGATTTGCCCCAGCTCAATCTTTTGATATAATGTGCAGAATTATAATGTTACTGAAATATGTGAATATTGTTCTTGGGCAAGCTTGCGCTTGGTAAATTCTATACTTAAAATTGAACAAATTTTGTCCAATTTGTCCTCTTTCTTGAAAGAAATGGAAAATACGAATAGTTTGTGACGCACATTACAGAAAAAAGAATTATAGGTCTCCCCTTTATGTGTTACTTAGTAATAAATACATAGAATCAAAGACTTAAGAGAAGGGCTGTTATTTAAAAATAGATTTTTTTTTCATGATACTGAAACATTGAGAGAGAGAGAGAAACTATTAATTATTCTGCACTGTAAACAAGTTATATCTAAGGGCTGAAAATTTTTTATGCCCTAGTAATGGAAGAATTGGGGAGCATATTGGTTTTGGTCTGTCTATCTGTGTAAGTGTTTTCACAAAAAAACTTTGCCCATATCTTTTGAACGGTTGGTGCTAGGGCCTTCATATTTCATATGTGTATTCCTTGTAACAAGACCTTTCTTTGGGTATCAATATATTTGACCTCTTGACCTTGGAATTTTACATACTTTTGCAAAATTTTACAGAACTCTAACCTTGGTCATAACTTGATCAGATCGGTTAGGGCTGTTATATTTTATGTGTACTTTCCATTTGACCTTTCTTTTGGTACTTATATTTCTGAGCTATTGACCTTGACCTTGGAGTATGACCTATTTTTGGAAAAACTTTAACCTTGGCTTTAGTTTTTAAATGGTTGGTAGCCTACTAAGACTTTCATACTTCACATGTATATATTCCTTGTGACAAAGGCTTTTTTGGGTACCAATATTTTTAATCTTAACCTTGACCTTTGAGTATGACTGCCTTGGCCTTCTGTGAAAATCTATGGCTTTTGCAAGAAAATGTGATAAAAGTGAACAAAGACATCCTCATAAATTTGTTAAGCTAATATTGTTAGAGGAAGAGAAAAAAAGGACACACAGTTACTGAGGGAATACAGTGTGTCTAGCATTAGTTAAGGTTATTACAAGATGTGTTGCTTCATGAAAAGGGTAAGTGTCTTGTGATTTGTTTATCTGGCATGTCATTTTTAGATGGACAAGGAAGAATTTTAAGGCTATTGATTAGTATTGAATTAAAGCCATATTCCATGGGGGTGTTATCGAATTTTAGTATCCCGAATTTTTGCTGAAGCAAGATGATTTTCGATAAAAATCATTAAAGAAGATATTTCATGACCTTCTGATGATAAAAAAATGTCTCTATTTGTTTCAGTACTCTCATGTAGAATTAAGAAATGTAAATAATAGGGAGTATTTTGTCTGTAATTCTGTCTTTCATCTCAGGAAGGACCAAGAAAATCTATTGATTTTTTTGCAGGCAAAAGGTTCAATTTCTTAACTTATAACAAAGATTATTATTGGTGTTTGTGGTAATTAAAGCAAGTAAAAAAGAAATGTATTTACATCATAATATATATAAGGTAAATTTACATGTTAACCCAGCTGTGCGTATATCGATTCTTCAACATCCAGTAACTTGCAAGTGAATATGAAGGAAGAATTTAAGATTGTATATAATTAAAAGTATATTGCTGATAAAGTGATAAGATGTAAAATAGAAAGTGTTTATAATGTTTAATTCAACTTTTATTTATTTTTTTACCCCCCTCCCCCCCCCCCCCCCCCCACACACACACACAAAAAAACACTTTCAGCCAAAGATGTTCAATAAAATGTGTGGCATATATTCTACTTAATTGCACGATACCGGTAAACTATTATATGTTGAAGAATCACTTTGTACAAAGTTCAGATAACCTATAATTCTGCATAAAATGAGCCATGAACATCCCAGGTCTGGTTAATTACAAGGAGTCCTTTTGTCCTGCTGTGTCCATATCACTATGGATTATTGATGAACATCAGGAAATTCTAATGATTGGTTATTATAAATGTAAGAGGTCAAAGATCAAATGGAATTTGTCCTGACAAAAGTAATTTGCCACAAGTTTGAATATTAAGCAGTTTTTCAAGTTAATTAAATGTGATTAAGGTTAAGGGTAGATCTTGATGGCCCTGAAATTCTCCCAGAAGTCAATTCAATCTTCTTGCATAAATTCCTTGCATATCTTGCATATAGCATGTCAAATGTCCTCTTTGAGTTTCCTGATTCTCTCCATATGCTGATACTTTTGCAATGTGGAGAGCAACAATAATCTGTTTATAGGTTCCCCAATGATAAACATTTCTAGGTTTATCTGTGTTCTTCTGCATGATGCATATTTCTAGAATATGATATTGACATTGGATGACATTGGAGATATATTTGAATAAAGTCTGCAGTCCATTCATATGTTGGATGTATTTTTCCTCTCATTACAGTATAAATATATCTAAGAGTGAAAGATAAACGTACCATGAAATAAATTTTAAAAAAGTGCTTTTGTCACAAGAAATGAATTTATTGTTCAATTGTTAATGATATGATACATGTAACTCGGTTTTATAAATATTGGGTTAGTAATGATGAGTTGTATTCATGCAGATTTATTTAAATTTTATACACTGGCCAATTGCACTGAAATGCTTTTTTATGTGCTGAATTATGTATCTTTAAAAGTTTTCAATTCGTTAAGTTTATTATATTATGTAACATTTTCCATCTATTACAGGTTTTCCAAGTGTGTTTTGCATCCTGAATAAACATTTGTAATTTCCTTTAAGACACCTTAGCCAAATATTCAAGTTCGCTCAATTCTTTCCTGTGTCAAGCATTTACTATGTTTTTTTCTCTTCTTTTTTCCCTCAAAAATTGATCTATGTTCTCTCATTGAACTAATGTCACATATTATATTCCTCTAGTGGTCCTGACAAAGTCTTTAAAAAAACTTTCTGAAGAGATTGAAAATTTTCAGAAATCACCAAGGCTTCTTAAATATTGCTGGTGACCTTTTTTTATGTACATTAAACATATGTTAAAGAATATGATTATGTTTTTGCAGGCATGTTTTGCATTTGAATCCTATTGCTATTTAATTATTATAGAAAAATATATTCCTGCATTTTTATTCCATGTCCACAATTTAAGAGCACATATTTATTACATATTAAATGCTGTTAAGGTTGACTATGGTACTTTGGCTCATGGTAATAATTGTATTTTAGTGATATTGTTTTTTATTTGTCTTTGACAGGAAATTGAATTAAACAGAGTTGAGTCTGCTGAAAGAGGGAGGTTGAACAGTGAAGAATTTATTAGCCTTTTTAAGGATGTTTCAACTCGACATGAAATTTACTTTCTATTAGTACGGTAGGTGTCTGGTACATATATAAAGATTAAATATGACAAGAGTGCCACTTCAGATAACAGAATAGCTTTAAATGGATGGGGGATATACTCTGTTAATTGTCTGTCCTAATGAAGTTTTGTGAAGACATTGTTTGAGCCCTTTCATCAGTGTGTCCCTCTTTTAAAGAATGTTGAGTGAGACATAAATTTGCAAGTCTTGAATGGAGTGAATTTAAGTTTTCATGATATGCTTATGCCTAAATATCATTGTGACTCAAGGCCATATTTTTAGAAAAATCAAAGGTCAAGGTCAGTGTAATGTTGAAATCATTTTGCCTTAAGTATCCATGACATATTGTTGTCTTATGGTCATTTCTCAATGAGAAAGGTCAATGGAAAATGAAATGTTATTTTCTTTTTGCTATAACTTGTAACCATTAAGACAGGAATTAACACAGTTTTAAGGTTATTGTTTTCAAAAACCCAGGCAAGTGTTATAATCCTGGTTCAAGGCCATGTCTTAAAGGTCAAAGCCATTTAAAAAGGAAAGTGCTCAGGTCTTTAGATTTTGTCAGTGCAATAGATATTTAATCATTTTATAAAATGTAGTCACCCGTGTTTTTTAACCATTACATTAGATATGATCTTAATTGAAAGACATACAGTGACAACCAAGTGTCTGCTAGGAAAGGGGTGGGGGCATTATATCTTATGCCACAAGTTTTAATCCATTTCCAGTCCTTGTAGGGCCATGAGGAATGGATGCATTAAAAGGGGAGGGGTGAGAGCTCAAAGACATCAATTATTGTCCACAGAAAAAAAAATAACAGCTTGATGAGGAGTGTATGGATACCAAGGTCTGTGTTGTTGTTGCCTTAATAATCAACACTTGGCACACATTACAGAATTTTACATGTCATTTTGTAGCTATAGTACCAGCCAAATTCTTAAACATGATATCTTAATTAGTGTGGATATTTAAGCATCTTTACCCCCTCAGACTTTTCTATGTAGAAAGCTTACTTTATATAAGAGATAATGATTGCTGAACTAATTGCTGATGATTGATTAACACATTAGATCTTTTTACTTCATGCTGCTTATTGAGCCATTGGGCAACATGGGCTATTAAAAGCCTTATCACGCTCGTAAAAGGCATGATAGCAGTGTTTGGACCATTGATGGAATATTGGGCATCATTGGGATGTTGGATCAATATAGGAATGGTAGCTCAGACATTGTTATCAAGTCAGATTCTTAGAACAAAGTTACCTTTAGGGTTCAGTTTAATGAAATAGAAATTGATGAATAATGCTACAATTGGGGGTGTTAGATCTACAGGAAATGTAGATTTATTATATTACATAACTTGATTTTTATTATTGAATGAAAGGATCATTCAGAAACAAAAAACAAATCCCCTTCCCCCAAAATCACAACATACTGGTACTTGTCCAAGCAAAAAATATACATCAGGGCTAGACAAATAGCATTGCCCGACACCTGGGACAACCAATTTTGTTTGGCGGGCAAGTTATTTGATAAGTGGTACCTGCCCACGGGCGAGTGCTTCTCCAGTTAACAAAAAATCAAATGTTGTTTGTTTTACTGCTGTTGAAATGTAAGGAATCACAATAGAGCACCTGTTTTCGCTGCTGTTGACCACTTCATCGAACACTCGGTCAGAACTCCTCTAGAATTTTATGTGTAGTTAAAATATACACAAGACGTAAAACATAGCAGCTATCGATTCCATATCAAAAAAGTTGAAGAGGATTTTTAGAGCTTTATAGGTACATGTATTGTCAAAATGTAACATTCATGCAGTGAATACAAACGTTTTCTACTGATGTTAAAATTAGAGCTGTTGACTGACGATCATGCACAGAAAGTCACGATAGGCATGCAGTGGTGGTTTTCAAAATGAAATACTGCATAATATTTTTTGTTTTCAATTAAATGATTGCTCATTATTTTTAAATTAAAAAAAAGGGAATACCTCATCAAAGAATTTTGAAGAAAATAGAATGAAACTTGGACTTTATTAATACCCCAAAAATACGTAAAGAAATCTGAATCTTAAATGTAAAATTTTACTACTAAAACATGTAATGTAAAATAATGAACTGTGATCATGTATGCGTATTAATTCTAATGTGCATTTTAATTCTAATGCTTGATATTCATATGCCTTGCAATTGGAAATCATCAAATGATTTGGCGTCTTCATTTTTTTTTTTCTCTTTGTGTATTTTTTGGATGCTAAAGTAATACAGAGAAATGTTTAAATTATGTACATGTATATAGATATACCCATTGCACAAGCTAGGAAATCTCCTTGGAACAACAATTACCCCTTAATTTTTCCCTGGAAGAATAAATTGATTTTGGGTCTAATTTAGTCCCCATGTAGTGTATCAATTGAGAAATAATTTTAATATAAACGATAATGCTTTAATTTTGTGTTGATTAAGAAAAAGGTGGGACAAGCATATTGTTTGGTAGGACAAGTAATTTTACGATGGTAACCTGTCCGAGGGCAAGTACTGAAAAATTCTATTTGTCTACCCCTGTACGTGCAGTCATGTGTATCATGGCAGTAGCTGTGTTGATCACATTTTACAATTGCTTTCTTTTTAATTTAAAGTACAGGTACTGTGGAATCATCAGTGTTCGTGGGGGATCATTTTCCTGGATTTCGTGGTTCAACCTTATCCACGAATTCACATCCCCAGGAACATTTATTTTTCAACATATTTATTCATCAAATCTTCTGTATGTACAAGTTACCAATGAAATTACATCCCCACAAACTAACCAACAAAATTTTGTTTGCCCACGAACATTGACCCCCCCCCATGAATTAAAATGATTCCACAGTATAGGACAAACTGCAATGAAAGGCAAAAAATAGCAAGATGTATAATTCAGTGTTTCCTTTTCCTATAAAGAAAATATATTAGGGCAACTATCTCATAGATTCACCGTAAGGAATGTAATATTTGTAGGGCTATGTTGGATAAGTATATCATGAGGAATATAATATTTTCAGTAATTTGTTGTATAGATATGCCATGGAGAGTTAAGCATTTAAGAATAAACTATGTCATATAGGTATGCCATGAAGAATATAATATTTTGAGGACTATGTTGTAGGTATGCCAGCAATACAGACTACCTCACCACAGATGACCTACTTCTATTTTTAGAAGCAGAGCAAGGAGTAAGTACAGTTCACATTTACATACTTACATACGATTGCCTTGTGTCTTGTTAAGCTCATTTTGTCATTCAAATTATGCTGAAATTTATTCATTCATAATTAATGGCTACTGCGTTACACAAAAATTTTCATTTCTGCAGTAAGACTGGTGAACTTTATGAAAAGTAATTTAACACCAGAAATGGATTTCTGTGGGACTACAGTGACCACAATATATGGCGGTAGCTTAAGGTCTCTACTTCCTTAATGATAGTGGGAGGCAAATTGAGAAAATTGAATCATTAGATAAATGGCAGAAAATTTTGGCATTGTTTTCAACAAAAGACTGAAAAATCCATTACCTCTTCCAGTAGGAAGTGCTGATTAATCCCAAGTCAATGATGTAAAATAAATTGAGATGAAATTTCAGATGATGGTTATAGCAAAGTAATGTTGCTTTATTTTTTTTTTTTTAAACATTTTACTCTTTTTAACTTTACTTGTATTCTCATGTTGTAATCTGCTTTTTTTTTCATTTAAAATTGATTTTAATTTAATTTCCAAAGTGCTATGGTAAAACTCCTACTACCTTCTTTAGAAAATTAATTGCATATGGACTCCACTTCAATAAAGAATTCCCAGTACTGTGAACTGAATAGGAATTAATTTCATTACAGGCATTGTGAGATCTTTCTGTATAAAGTCTGTTGCCATCAATCAAAATAATGTTATATTAGGAGAAGAGAAAAATCCATTCTCTCATAATTGCTGATCAAAGAGCTGGTTTTTATACCCCCGCTCCGAAGGAGAGGGGGGTATACTGTTTTACTCTTGTGTGTCTGTCTGTTTGTGTGTCCGTGTGTGTGTGTGTCTGTCCGTAACAAATTTTTGTCGCAGTTTTCTCAGCAACTACTCATCGCACATGCTTGAAATTTTAGCACACTTTTTGTCTAGGCATGCCATATGGTCGGAGACATTTTTACACAAATCTGATGTCAACTTCCTGTTTATCCGTGCATCTGTCCGTAACAAATTTTCGTCACAGTTTTCTCATTAGCTACTGACATTGCATATGCTTGAAATTTTAGCACACTCTTTGCCTAGGCATGCCATATGGTGGAATTATTTTTTTATACAAATCTGATGTCAACTTCCTGTTTATCCGTGCATCTGTCTTTAACAAATTTTCCTTGCAGTTTTCTCGGCAACTACTCATTGCTGATGCTTGAAATTTTAGCACATTCTTTGTCTAGGATTGCTATATGGTAAGATTCATTTTTGTACAAATCTTATGTCAACTTCCTGTTTATCCATGCATCTGTCCATACCAAATTTCTCAGCAACTACTCATTGCATGTGCTTGAAACTTTAGCACACTCTTTTTCTGGGCATGCCATATGGTGGGATTCATGAGAGCATATATTCACATCAGAGCGGGGGTATTACTAGTGAGCATTGGCTCACAGACTTCTTGTTTTTTTCCTTCAGGTAAAATCTTCAATATCCTTAAATAAAAAGAAAGAAAAAAAGAAATGAGCTGTTCATACATATACCCATTGTGCATTATTAATAAATTTCATTTCTTTAACAATCATCTAAATAAACAAAGCAAACAAGATTATTCATTTGGTATAATACTGAGTACATTGTATGGTTTCTTGGGTGTATATGACATTGGTTAAAAAGTAGGTGATCTGCATTGCAAATCAACCACAGAGGAGTCATTTTTCCTGGTCATCATGAGCTCCATTGTGAATGGACAGAAAAAATTTTCTTTGTGCAGGAGCTGATATTTACAGTGTGTCTTTGTAGTATATGCTATGAATATCATTAGCTTTTTTATCATTTACTTATGATACATTGACCTTAAGGAAAATAAATCCTTGCTTAGTAAACATCTTGTTTGTGTGACTTATTTTCAGATGCAAAGAGTGACGAAAGACAAATGTATTGATATAATCAATAGGTTTGAACCCTCAAAAGACGGGAGAAAGAAAGGGCAGTTAGGAATAGATGGTGAGTTAATTGAACAAACAGGAAATGACTGTCAATTACAAGTTAAATTACATCCAGTGGTCTAGCCATGATAGAAAATATAAGGAGGGAAACATTATTTATTGCAGAAAGCAGAATTGTGGGTGGGGTGGGGTTATTCCCCTTTAGCATGCTCACACTGTGTACCCTTTGTTTATAGACTAAGTATTTTTTACCTCTTCATTCCTTAAAACTCCACTATTGACATAAAGGAAAAGTAATCACAAATTATAAAGAATGAAGACCTTTATTCTCCTAGAAATTAACCTCTTACAGATCAGCTGAGGAGATGAAATGAAAATTTAAATGGTGTGGTCTAGCTGACTAGATTTGATTAGTGGTTTTGCAAGGAGATTTCTTTTCTATGGAAATCTAAATACCAGTCTGAACTTCTTTTTTTCTTTTTATATTAATTTGTTAGGTGACATTAATAGATATTAAATGCTGTTGCTACATGCAATGCATTGTATTTTTTTTCAATATGAAAAGAATATTATGTAATATATATTTGTAATTAAATTGAACTTTGGTTTTATATAGACAGTAAATTTATCCTGCAGAAAAGAAAAAAAAAATCTGCACACCATGCATGTGATTTTCCCATCGTACCTTCAGACAACCCTTCAATGTTTAATTTGTGTATCTCCAGTCAAATAGTGATTGAATTTATTTTGGATAATTTGCAGGATTCACAGATTATTTGCTGTCTGAGGAATGTGATATATTTGATCCTGACCAGAACAAAATTTGTGAGGACATGAACCAACCTTTGAGTCATTACTTTATTGCCAGCTCGCACAATACGTAAGTACAAGGAACCCCAATCAGAACCTATATCTTGATTCAACTCCATCAGAAGCCCAGTGCTTGTTAAGGATGATAGATGTTTTTTGGTCCAAAAAGTGGAAGAGACGCTCATGTTTAGCTGATGAGGAATTAGGTTTGTCTCTCCAAAGAACACAGAGAAAACTGTTATGAGACCCTGAATAAGGAAATAAGCAAATTCTTTTTTTGTAAGCTTCCTCTTTAGGGAATTCATTACAAATTCTGATGTGAGGACTTAATGGTATGGTATTAATAGATGTAGAGTGATGACAAATTACTCTGAAAAAGAGAATAGACATCAAAATTGAAAGATGAGAATTATATCAGGGTCCCTGTTATTATGGTGTCAAGAGATTTTTTCCTCAAATGATGTTTTAAGAGGAATATTGTCCATGTCCAATGGGTTTGAAATTCCTATCAATCTAGATTTCAATTAATATATTAATAGAAATAAATATAAATTTTACATTATTAGTATATTTACAGGCTTAATGCAAATAAAAATAATAAATGACTACTTCATTCTTTTCTTATGTATAAAGATTTTTTTTTTAAATTTGTATTATATTTGTTTTGTTTTTTTTCTGTTCAGGTATCTTATGAAAGACCAGTTGCAAGGTCCGTCTAGTGTTGAGGCTTATATACGTGCCCTTACGAAAGGATGTCGCTGTGTGGAACGTAAGTAGTATATACGTTCCTAGTGAGAAAAAAGGGGCGTCAGATGTAAGCTTAAATATGTGCCATTACCATAAGATGTAAGCTTAGATATGTGCCATTACCATAAGATGTAAGCTTAGTTATGTGGCAATACCATAAAATGTAAGCTTAGATATGTGCCATTACTATGGGATGCTGCAATGTGGAATGTTAGTAGTTTATAACATACATAGCTACACAGAGTGAGTGGCCTATGAGGTATGGAATCTTATGTATCTGCCATTACTGTCAGCTATTGCTTCTTGGAATATCAGTAGTTTATTCTATAAGAGAGAGAGAAAGAGAGGGGGATGGAGGCTCCATACTTGTATGACCTTACTTGTATGTCCCTACTAAATTAATATCTCTATGTAGAAGTGTCAGTTAAGTTTGAATAGTGAGAGAGAGGGGAAAAAAAAAGGAAAGAGAGAATATCAGAAAAAAGGTATTTTGAAGGCCAGAGAATCTTGTTCATATACATGCAGGCAAATTATTTTGAAATCCTGGGATATGAAAGTTTTTACTGGGACAGTATTATACATCATTACGGAGTGGTGGGAAAATGTTACTGGTAATTAGTACATTCTATTTGAGGATGAAGTGCCTTAGATGTTCACATGGTGATATAACTACATCACCAGAGTGTACTTACATCTTTGCATTGTTAAAAATGTATGAATGGTAAATGCAATTGTGATGGGCTATTCACAGTCACTTTACACATGATTAAAGGCAAAGATGTTGAATGTAGCTGTAATGAGGTGGGGGGATGATTAGGTTTTGCCTGCAGTGCAAAGTAACACTTTGATCACTTCACTTGGTGTCTGTTAGTCTGTCTGTGACACCCCCATTTTCTTATGAACCTGTGAGAGGAAAAATAAGGGATCTAATATATATATTACATATGTTTTACTTGACCTCAGGGCTTAAATAAAAGGCTTACTATCTTTTTGACATTAATCTTGAATTTTGTGTAACTTTGAGGAAAAGAAAACCTTTTTTTTAACCTGTGAGAGGTAAGGCTGTGATATTTATAAATCGCAGTCCAATGTCACATGACCTTTTTAAAAAAATTTAATACATTAGTTTTTGACCATGTGCTGTGGAATTATTGCCTTTTTGGCCTTATTTTAAAAAATAATTAATTCTTCTCTTATACCTTTGAAATTGCAAAAGGTCAAGTTTTGATATTTAGCATGTATATAGACTTTATAGAGTGTTTTATGGAGTGCTGTGACCTTGAACTTTAACACACTTTAAAAGAGAGGGAGTTATGCCCTGCCTTTGATGTTTAAAATGTTTTTCACTCCTTAGCAGGTCTTTCAAAAAGAGTTTCTGAAAATGTGATCTTTGACATTTATATTTATTGGTCTTTGGTTTTTAGGAACATTGTTTCCAGTAAATAATATCCATGCAAACTGCCACTCCTTCTAAAGTTTTGAACCAATTTCAATAAAACTTGGTACACAAGTTTACTACACCAATATATATATAGGATAGATGAGGATTTGATATGCAAGATTTCAATTAAGGACACAGGAAGCAAACAAAGAATTGGTAATTTAGATACATGGATTAGTACATGTATATATTTTTGGCCTTATTTGGGTTGTAAATGATGCATACATGTATATCAAATTTCTAAAATGTCAGGAAATTTTAGACTTTTTTCCTTTCTTTTTGCAATCACCTTTATAAATCTATACAATTTTTTTGTTATCACTTTATAGGGCATTATTGAAAAACTGAATTAAAAGTGGCTAAATTTATTCATTTTACTTATATAAACATAGATCTTTATGATGGCCTTTTTTGCTAAAAACTATCAGAGTTTAATGATCAAATGTGCAACCTTCATCTTAGTCTAGAATAAAACCATGTTTTAAACAATCTTTTACATTTCTTTCAATTTTTACTGGAAAGATAACATCAATTTTGAAACAATCCTAAATGTTGCTTTGCCAGTGATACTATTGTGTGTTCCTTATATAACAATCTAGCTGGCATTTAAAGAGTTAATTCTCTCACATTGTTAGTGCAGTGGCATGGGTTTATTTATCAGTGTACTGTTGCATAAATTCATGCGGAGAGTATTTTTTCAATGCCACTAACTGATGTTTACAGTACTCCCCAGAAAACAGAAATGTAGGGCAAACCGTGTATCTCAGATTTATGATCAGTGTTGATTCAGGCATTGCCAGTTGTTATTTTGGGAATATAGTGTGAAATCTATCTTTCAGATGTATAAAAGCAGTGACAGAAAGTTCGAGTCTGGGGGTCTAATCATCACAGATCTATGTTATTATGATGAGAAATGTTAGGGGTAATAGGGGATTAATTGTAGGACAACTTGTATCCTATGTTTTCCCCTCCAACACAAGTCTACTTTTGTCAGACAACACATTCCTTTTCCTGATCAGTGTAAAATCAATTTCTTAATTGCCTACAAGTAGTGCAACTGTTGTAAGCTACATTTAAAAAAGTAATTAGCGGTCTGGCTTGGAGGAATATGGACACATTTTACTCAAACTCATTAAAATAAGATGAGCATTTTTTTTTTTCATAGGAATGTCCTTTCTGTACTTATTGAAGAGTCAGTTGTAAGCATATCACACAGGCATTTGTAGTACGCATATCTTTGTGTGTTATATGAACATATGAACTTGCAGAGAACGAATATTGTCATTTCTGCAGGAAGCTTTTAAAAGGTTTAATACATTCTATAAATGTATGTTCAATATGCATTTCAAAAAGTGTTGAATAAAATTAAGTAAATATTAGATACATGTATTACTGAACATATCTTAATTATTGGAAGGTGTAGAATTAATAAAGTACATGTATTTGTTTAACATGCTTGAAGTCAAATCAATCACAATGTAAAGACTGTATAATTTGTTTTAGTGGATTGCTGGGATGGACCAAACGATGACCCCATTATTTACCACGGACATACCTTCACCTCAAAGATACAGTTCAAGGCCGTTATTGAAGCCATTAACACTTATGCATTTGAAACCTCTGAGTAAGTTCTCATTTGAAAAAAAATCTCAATCATCTTCTAAATTTAGTTACAAAATAAAGAAAAAGGACAAAAGCAGAACTGAAAATAAAACAGCAGTCTTGGCCTTCTTAATGATAATATTAAAGAAAGTAGTAAAAAGGGAAAAAATCTCCATTTTATGACAAGCTAAGGAACCTGAGAATTTCAAGGACAGATGTTTTAGTTTGCCTTTAGATTTTTATCATATATGCATGGTGGCCATTAATTGATTTGAGTACATGAGTAACATATGGTGACTATTCTTTGAAATGGAAGTCAATGACAAGCTTTTTAGAACTAAAGGTAAGGAGAAAAGTACTTGAGAGTGTGGTATTGTTTTTCAGGTATCCTGTGATATTGTCAATAGAAAACCATTGTAACATCAAACAGCAGCAGGCGATGGCTGAATACATGACCTCAATATTTGGAGATAAGTTGTGTAGTGAGAGTGTCCCTGAGAACGAGACTTGTCTTCCTTCACCAGACTCTCTCAAAGGAAAAATACTTATCAAGGTAAAATAGGACATAGGATTCCACTTTAAAGTTATGGGATTTCCCAGAGTTTATATTTGTCGGCACATATATATACATTGTAGATCACAAATTTGTATATGAATCCAAAATTTTTTTAGCTTTAGTGATGAAATTTATGTGATATGCCCCAAAGCAAAAGTTTATAGATTTCTCATATTTATATACATGTACATTAGTTATGAATCCAAGATCATGATGAAGAGTTTGAACCTTTTGTGTGATACAGGGTAAGAAGTTGCCTCCTGACTCAGAGGACGGGTATGTTACAGATGAGGATGAAGGGGCGGAGTCAGACAAGAAGAAAAATAACAAAACCAAGGTTTTCACGTGTTTTAAAAAGATGACTTTCTTGACAATTTGACTAAATAAATGTGCTAATACATGTACAGTATATCAATGTTGAATATTGATGTCTAAGGTTAACATTATTTCTTTGCTTTAATGAAAGTAGAACTTGTTATAGAATTTTAAAATGTTTTGAAATAACATCAAATTCATTGTTAATATTAGATACAAGAAAATGTGAAAGTATATTAGACTAAATTGATTGTGTTACAGGATCACCCAGTGAAGAAGCACAAACTGGCTAAAGAGTTGTCTGACTTGGTGAATTATTGTGTGTCCACTAGATTCCATGACTTCCAATTATCCCAAACAAGTCGTATGTACATTTATATTGGAAATTTACGTTCTTTTTCATATAGATTTAGTTTCTCTAAATATGAGAATGGTGCCTCCCAAATGAAAACAACTAGATATTGATAATTACGGGGCATGGATGAAATATATATAAAGTGCATGATATTGGAGAAAAAAGTAAGTGATAAAAAAATTCCCCCCCATTGATTGATTTCTTAACCTATCAATTATTAAAAATTGCAGAGAAATACTATGAGATGTGTTCATTCAGTGAATCCACTGCCATCAAACTGGCCATGAGTTGTCCTGAGGAGTTTGTAAACCACAATAAGAAGTTCCTGTCACGTATTTATCCCAATGGAATGAGGGTGGACTCCAGTAACTATAACCCACAGGACCTCTGGAATTGTGGGTGTCAGATGGGTAAGTGCGAAGTCGTGAAGTTACTGGGGAGGGGAAAGAAGGGGGGGGAAAGGGGGGATTATATACAATAATATGATGACAGGTAATTGAGAGAGGATTGCATTTAATAAAATTGAACAGCAGTATTTTAAAGAAAAAATTATTTCCAATTACTGACAAGTTACATCTTTGGACTTGGCATTTCTTAACAGTTTTTTTAAAGTGATAGAGGAATTTGAATGATAAAGTATTTGAATCTGGAAGAGAAATTGCACATCCATGTATCTATAATCTGTTTTGAAAACTTAATAGCAGAGATGTGTGTGTTTATTAAAGTGGCCTTGAATTATCAAACCCATGGTTTAATGATGGATCTATACCATGGATTCTTTCGACGTAATGCTAACTGTGGGTATATTCTAAAGCCAGCAATTATGAGGGAGGAGATTGCGTACTTCAGCGCCAACACAAAAGACGTCATTCCAGGGGTGTCACCTCAAATATTGCACATAAAGGTAAAATGCAAACGGATTTACACTTGATCAGTATGTACTTAAAAACACCTGGATTACAGAATATGTTACATTATGTTTATATGTGTAGGTTATCAGTGGACAGCATTTTCCGAAACCCAAAGGTTCTGGTGCCCGCGGCGATGTTACAGACCCATATGTTACCATAGAGATTTTCGGCATCCCTGCTGACTGTGCAGAAGAGAGGACCAAAACTGTGCCCCATAATGGTGAGTAGGCCAGGACCTTTGTACAGAAAACTTTTTATTACTTTATTTTGGTAGTTTCTTCATCCAGTTAACAATTGATGAACATCAGGGTCACATTTCCCAAAAAAAATATATATATATATATAAGTTGTAAATCCATTAAAGTTTCATCTAAAAATTCCTCTGGTGTCCAAGTTAAGTTTTACATAAATAAGTAGTTAATGCTACTTTTACCTGTTTTTCTCTTGTAGGATATAGTCCCATATTTGATGAGAGTTTTGAGTTCCAGATTAACCTTCCTGAGCTGGCTTTGGTTCGGTTCGCTGTCTTGGATGACGATTATATCGGTGATGAGTTCATTGGACAGTACACCATTCCTTTTGAATGCATGCAGACAGGTTTGTTCTCTTATTACAATTTACAGGATTTGACATAAGTTTGTCAATACTTCAACAGGAAAATATTGAGCCATATATGATTTAATTTCTATTTAAAATTGGCCCAAAGTTATTTAGCCAACCATAAATTGTAGCTTTGTTAGAATTCCCCAATTTTAAGATTAATCAGTATGGAAAGGGTTTTAGATTAATTAAGATATAAAAATTTGAATACAGAACAGATTTAGATTTAAAAAAAAATTAGGTAAAGATTTCTTTAGGTATGCAGATTTATATTGCAAATTTGAAATATTTTTAAAAAGGTTAATGAAAAAGTTGTTGATATATAAAAAAAATCGTTTTTCAGGATACAGACATATTCGTTTATGCTCCAATACAGGAGAGGAGATTCCTAACTGCACCTTGTTCATTCATGTGGCAATCACAAACAAACGAGGAGGAGGGGTGAGGGAAATACTTCACATTTAAAGTTTTTTTTTGACCATATTTTATTATTTATGTTACATTAAAAAATTAGGTGGCAGGTGTTACCTTTATGAGCCTTTTCCATATTGGAGAGGCATAATGAGATTTGTTCTCTCTTGTTCACAATTACGGTATTTTAAAGATTGTGCAGTTCATGAAATTTTTTTCTTTCTGTAGAAGGCACACAAGCGTGGAATGTCGGTGAAAAAGAAAACCAAACGTGATTACACCAGTATGAAGTCAGTGGGAGTGAAAAGCATTGATGAAACATTCAAGGTATGGTGAAAAGGGTAGATTAAATCTTTAGAACATGCTCAACCTTCAGTATTTTGAACTGTTTGATTTAAAGTAGATTAAGCCAATCATTTGTATTATCTGAGAATTTACTTTCTTTTCTGTTTTACCATGCAACAGTGTGGTTCATAAAGGTAGAAATTTGTCAGAAAATATTACACCGCTTTTTTTCAAGCACTTGAAAAAGAATTAAGCAGCATTTTAAAACATTTTGTGGAAGTTGTTGAATAGATATTTGAAATTTTTCCTGTAGGTTGCTATTCAACCACTGCGAGATGGCACAGACCTCAGGGATAATGTACAGATAACTCTAGCTGACTTCAAAGAAACTTGTGGGTTATCTCCTATTGCCAACATCAAACAGTGCTTCCGTTTAATGGGTACCAGGCTATCCAACTCCACTGAGCAGGCTAATCTGACCCTCGTTATGAGAGGGGAGGTAAGGCATGATGCATCACTGATGTTAAAAGCTTTTTATATTCATTCACTCATGTCAGTCTGTTTTTGTTAAAAAAAAATTAGATGCTACATAATCATGTATTAAAACATAGTTTTTATGTTTGTATTGCCTGATTGAATCAACTTGTATTAGGGCATCATGTAACCGATCCGTCTTGTTTATCCTTTTGTAAATAAAAAACCCTTCAGTCTATTTTATTTGCTCTGACAAATTGTTTACAGATCCATTCTCTTTCCACAAGACCAACAATGGGATATGAAATCCATAATCCTTGAGAGGGCATCTCTGTTTGTTAAGCTAAATGTAAAATGATGAGTATTCATGTACTCAATGCTTCAGAAAGTAGAGCCATGGGGAGTGAGATTCTTCGTCATTATGACTATAATTTATGAGACTGCCCTTTGTTGTTTTAGTATCCAAGCCTAGAAGCTCAAGGCAATCTGCCAGATATTTTGAAGAAAGCGCTCCTCTCCTTTGATGAGGTTTGTGTCCATATCCAGACTTTAAACATGTATTTGATTTGTCATTGTTTTTGTATTTTAAGTATGCTGTACTACAATTTATTGATCTGTAGAGACCTTGGCTAAATTTTTTTATTCTTTTCTTTCAGTTGGTGGCAGAAATTAAGAATTTACTTGAAAATGCAGACACAGTTTATGAAAGGGTAATTACATGCATGTTTTTAATGTGCTTCCACTGAGGGTATTCCGTCATGTTCTGCCGTCAATAAATATTGAAAGTTGCAAGAACTATTGTAATTCATTACTCTACCAGTGCAAACAAACTTGATGATGGTGGTTTGCGTTTAGGAAGGGGAAGGGAGAGGGGACTATACAGTATAAGCTAGCAGTTATCACAACATTGCCAATATGACTAAAAATCCTCTGTTAATGATTTGAAATGTTTGAAGTGTCATAAGATTTTTTTTTTATCATAGTTACTGCATTGCAAGCGAGCTGGGATGGAGTGGCATGAAGATTTGGAGAATATTTGCCAGCAGTCAGGCCTGAAGGGCAAAAAGTTATCAAAGGTATCATAACACAAAGAGATTTAAATATCTAGATTCTTCTCTGTAGGATTTATTTGAAATGTAAAGCATTGTTTGTGTAACTCAATACAGTAAATTCTTGTTATCAAACTTAAATATAGCAAATTCACAGATAGTGATTTTTTTTTAGGTTCTCTGCAACCTTCTGAACGATTCTTTGTAATATTTTATAGTTATAATGAACTCTGATATAAAAATTGTATGGAGAGTTGATTTTATGTCTCATAGAGGTTAAGGATAAGGTAATTTACATCTTTTATAACAAATTTTTAAAGAGTCTCAGTACAATGAAACTTCTCTAAACTGGCCACCTGCTGGACCAGACCACATGGCCGGATTAAAAGGATTGCTGGTTTTTAGCTCACCTAAGCCAAAGGCTTGAAATATCAAAAAATTAATGGCATCATTGAAAAATCTTACTCTCAAGAACCAATGAGCCAGGAAAAATGAAACTCATGTGAAATCATTGTCAGGTAGTGTAGATTCAAGTTTGTTCAAATCATGACCCCCAGGGGTAGGGCGGGGCCACAGTGGACGATCAGAGTTTAACATTGGGGTATGTAGGAAAAATCTTCAAAAGTCTTCTTCTCAAGAACAGCAAAGCTATGTTTGGTCATATTTATATGGAAGCATCCTCAGGTGGTGTAGAATCAAGTTGGTTCAAATTATGACCCCCGGGGGTAGGATGGGGCCACAATGGATGATCAAAGTTTAACATTGGAGTATATTGGAAAAAACTTAAAAATTCTTCTTCTCAAGAATAGGAAAGCCATGATTGGTCATATTTATATGGAAGCATCTGCAGGTGGTGTAGATTCAAGTTTGTTTCAAATCATGACCCCCAGTGGTAGGGTAGGGCCAAAATGGACGATCAAAGTTTTACATAGGAATATATAGGAAAAATCTTCTTCTCAAGAACAGCAAAGCAATGATTGGTCATATTCATATGGAAGCATTCTCAGGTGGTGTAGATTCAAGTTTGTTCAAATCATGACCCCCAGGGGTAGAGTGGGGCCACAATGGTCGATCAAAGTTTTACATAGGAGTATATAGGAAAAATATTAAAAAATCTTCTTCTCAAGAACAGCAAAGCTTTTATTGGTCATATATGAAGCATCCTCAGATGGTGTAGATTCAAGTTTGTTCAAATCATGACTCCCAGGGGTAGGGTAGGGCCACAATAGGGGATCAACGTTTTACATAGGAATATATAGGAAAAATCTTCTCAAGGAATATATAGGAAAAATCTTTAAAAATCTTCTCAAGAACAACAAAGCCATGATTGGTCATATTTATATGGAAGCATCCTCAGATAGTGTAGATTCAAGTTTGTTCAAATCATGACCCCCTGAGGGTAGGGTGGGGCCACAATGAAAGTTCAAACTTGTTCATAAGGTGTCAATTTTATTCACTCTTGTTTGAAAACTATTTAAATCATTGTAGATTTATGAGGATTTGACATAGATGTAGGAGCCCCTGGCATAAGTTATGGCAATTCATCCTTTATATGGTGCTGGCCTAGACTTTTTATTTTGGCTGATTTTGAAGGGGTGCTGGTATTTTCAGGGTTGCTGGTTTTGCGAAGTTTCACTGATATTACAAATATTAAATTGACATTTTTTGAATTACGGAACTTTGTGATTTGCAGGCCATGGAGAATTTCTCCTGGAATATAAGGGTATTAAAAGGACAAGCAGATTTAATCAACCAAGCCAAAAAAGAAAGCCAAGAATATCTCAGACAAGTGAGTCATTTTCTCTTTCTTAAAGCTCAGCTATTTTCTTTCCTTGGCTCAAGTTTTTAAATCTTAAATAGCCAGAAATATAAGACAAAAGCACTGAAATTTGTAATTTTTTTCTTTATTGGATACATTTTTTATTATCTTTTAATTTTTTTTGTAGAATTAAGTATTAAAGCAAAATAGTAGCCAGTGAAGGATTGATAACTTTTATTCACATATTGGAAAAATATCCATGAGTTTTGAAATCTTTTTCTGATGAATATTTTAATTCTCACCACAAATTATTTATTTAATTATGTATTTAAGTAAAATGTCTCATCAGTCACAAAACTTAATGTTGCATGATTTTAGATCATAAACGAAAGTTGTTACAAATAATAGTAGGTTGCCATTTTGGACGTGAAGAATTTTCAAATCCTCCACTTTAGATCACAGAAGCAGCACAATCAATGGGGCTTGGGAAATTCAACGACAGCCAATCAGATATACCAGATGTCCTGGACAGTCCATTATGATGTAGAGTCCGTCACCAAAAAGCTGTGGTCTCAACAGGTGCCACTCTCAAGGAATGCATATGTCATTGAACCACCAAGCAGTTCTGAAACAACCTGGGAAATCAAGCGTTTACACCAATGTCAGAAATTATACATAATACATGTACCATAATATCTATTGATTTGATATTGCTGCCAAAAACAATGTACAAAAAAAGGTAGTGTGTTGCTGACCAACATACCAAAATGTCAGAATCTCATGTGATAGTATAGAGTCTGTGTATTCCTATTCAGACTGCATTTCTTCTTGTTCCCTAGTCGTCCCCCCTTACTTACCATGCCAAATGCTTATATACTAGATAAGTATAGTGTATTTATAGTGTCCGAATACTTTTTGGGGTGTCCAATATTTCATTGGTATTGTTTGATTATAAAATTCTTGTTGATATATATATATATATATAAATTTACTCATGAACACAATATTATTGTATACTCTGAAGACAGGAGGGAAGGATTTCTTTGTTAATATTATCAGACTCTTCTTGTGTTCCTCTGTGATCTAGTCTAACTCTTGCCAGGTCTTATGAATGTACAGCTGTGATTCATTCTAATTCAGATGAGATTGTGGTGTTGAAGGTTTCTAACAGTGTCCCATTCAATAACACATCAGGAGTCACTCTGAATTCATTGTTCATACAATTTTATTTTTTTAAAAAAATCAAATTTCAAGAAAATTCAGTTATTTTCCTCCAAAACCCATTGCAGCTTTCTTGCATATTTTAACTTGCCAATCAAACTGAAAGATAGTAATTATTTTCCAACCAAACCAATTAAGGGTATCTTCATAGAATTTATTGATGCAGCTGTAATTCAAAAGATTTACTTGAATGTGATCTCCAAAACCCCAATGACTTTTTCTCTGTTTTATAGCCTATATGTTTTAATGACTACATTGATCATCTTCTTATGTTTCATTGATACTTACTTGATAAGTCTCAGATTTCAGGACAAAAATCTGGAAATAAGGTAAACTTAGTACATATGTTGCAGTTTCTTAACAAATGCTTGGAACCTTTCCGGTGTTTAATGGACAGATTTGTTTCTCATACCATTGCATCATACCTGATAATAAAACATGAGCAACATGTAATTCCTTCATCCATGTCAATAAACGAGTTAACAGGAGATCCAGTTAGATGTGCCTATTATTAGATCTTGTGACATTAAGAAATTCTACTCCATGCTGTGTGATACAAATTTTTATATATCACTCTCATTACTGTCTCTCTAATAATTTTTCACTCAAGAGCAATTTTTGTATTATACATGTATTATTTAGGTAACTAATTAAACAAGTGTTAGATGTGGTGTAAATTGTGCAGGTGGTGAATGTTATTTGGTATATACAGTACATGTAACAGTGATATTATGAAAATTGTTGGAAGCGTGTGACTTAACTTTCAGAAGAATTCATACTGCATATACCCTTGCATCTACAGGTCTACATGAAGTGATTTTCATAATTTACAATATACTAGACATTTCAGGAGTAAGTTATAAACAACAGTCAAAAGTATAGAAGCTTGGCTGAAGTTCTCATTTTTTCCCCAGAAATTTTACTTTAAGAGCTGTAAATTACATTTTATATTATTAAGAGCTTGACATTTATCCAAGATTCCAGGCCTTTGGTTTTAATTTTCTCTGCTTTATAGTAACAAAGGCCACAGAAGTCACTCAGGTGACTTCTTTTAACTGTGTTCATCAGTTACCATCTGTCGTAATTTTTTTTTTTCATTTTCCAACTCCTTTCTAGAACCATTTCACAATGCAGTGTCAATTACTTTCAAATACAGTGTAGAATTCATCCATTTATTATTGATGGAATAAGTGTATTTTATTGTTTTGTTTTTTTTCCTCTCATGTTTCCAATCCTCAAAATGATGAGTAAATTACTGAAGTTGATAGAATTTTGTATTTAGAAAATTTAAATGCTAAACACAAAGAGATTTGGAGGAAAATAATTGATATATGTTTGTTTTGGTTGTCATCATCTGTCTCTTGTTTGAGAATCAGTATCTTTGTTTCCTGTGCAAAATAACATCACATGCAATATTAAATAAATGACCTTTTATAATGGGCAAAGTTAGTAGAAAAGTAGTTCAAAACCATGTTTTATTTACCAGATTTAAAAAATGTTAGATCATTTTTAGCTCTACTGGTTGAAGAACAGAAGAGCTTATGTGATAGTAAGGTGTCTGTTGTCTGTATGTATGTCTGTCCATCTGTAAACAATTTTTCAAAACGCTACTCCTCCTACAGTTTTGCTCAGATTTCAATATAACTTGGCACACAAGTATACTACACTGAGATACATAATTCCATATATCCGTTTCCATGAATGGTGTTTCCATGGTTACTAAAAATAGAAATTTCTGTGAAATACTTTCAAAACGCTACTCCTCCTACAGTTTTGCTCAGATTTCAATATAACTTGGCACACAAGTATACTACACTGAGATACATAATTCCATATATCCGTTTCCATGAATGGTGTTTCCATGGTTACTAAAAATAGAAATTTCTGTGAAATACTTTCAAAATGCTACTCTTCCTACAGTTTTGGTCTTATTGTAATATAACTTGGCGCACAAGTAGTGATTGCAATAAATCTTGCCACAAAAAGGAACTTAAAGAATCATTATTATTGCTGTTGCAAAGTTTCAAGTCCAAGTGCTACTTTTCTCTTTTCCTTTGTTTTAAGTACAAACCAGTAGAGTACAGAGCTACAGTCTCATCAGAGACACCTGTTTACATCCTTTAGTAAATAAATGAATTACTGGTAAATTATCTCGGTGCATTTTGATGTTTGAATGATTAAGGAATTTTGTTCAGATAATGCTCATTTATTTTGAAATGTCACTAAGGCTCTGTTGAGAGCTTGTCCCTTATACTGTAGTTATTATGTTTTCTGAGTTTTTTCTGAGTCAGAATTTTTCTTTATTATAGTTCTTGAGAGCCACATAAAGTATAATTTTATGCATTAAAAACTGGTATGATGTTCAGTGTTTGTAATGAGGGTAGAATGAGATTCATGTATTTCAATTCAGATAAATCCTTCATTGTGTTTGGTAACAAACCAAAAAAAAAATCTATTACTTTAATTTCTCAAAGTTCCGTGCTGATTTTTTTTCTAAAGTCACAGAAAATTTAACAATGTTCTTCATTTTTCAATGATGTTGACAATATCAGGGGAAAACTATTGTAGAAATGATAGAGTAAAACTAAAGTGATTTATATGTATTTTCAAATTTTCATCCACCTTCTTTCTGTAAAATTTGTGATCGATTTATCAATTGTATCTTTACATTTTTTCAATTGGTTACTAGTACTTCAGGAACATTTGAAAGTTACTGAAGAAAAACTTAAGATATCATCAAGGAACATCAAATTCAATTCTTGTAGATTTCATTATATTTTCAAATGTGGCAAGAAAGGGTAAAACACAGATAGAAAACTACATGTAATATACAATGTTTGCTTAATAAGAATTTGAGGAACTGTTTCAATTGTAGATAATTTAAGTTTTTAAGTTACTGAGGAAAGGATGGTTCATTCAAAATATGACGAAATGTACAGATGTAGCCTTTTTTTTTGTTTTACTTTAATTTTGTAATCTAGCTATTAACAATCTGAATATATAATTTTCAATTTTGTTTTAATTTTTTTTATTGTAAAAGTTCTTGATGAGCATAATCAACTAATTTATATATACCTTTTCTCTGTCAACATGTATGTTTTCTTGATTGTTATTACGTATTATATAGTTTAAAAAAACCCCTCATTTTTGAAATTAAGTTCTGTTGAATTTTGATGTGAATTTTATTTCTTGTTATCGTTTATTGATGTCGTATTTTTCTTTTTTTCTGGAGTATTAATTGTAAATAATGTTAATTAATGCCTAAAAATCAATATGAAGATTAAGCTGTGTACATATATGTGTGTATATTATTTTTGTGTCATATATTGTCCCAAAATGAGGAAGTGCTTAAGAAGATGAAACCTAACTGCCAGTTTTAAAAATGTGCAAATTGAAATGTATGTATTTATTTTCTTTATAGAGAAAGGTAAATTTACATATATACAATTTTTTCCCCCTAGTTATGATGTTGAAGCCATAGCATGTGCTGGAAATTGGCAAACCCTTTTTATTGATGACAGCTTTTGGTAAAGAAGAATGTTGTATCTATTTTTTTTTTATAATATTGATAAATTTATATCCATCAAATATTAAAAAACCAAAATGGACTGGTGGTCACTGTTACTGAATATTTTATCAGATGCACTAGTTCCCTTTGTCAATAATTAACAAAGTACATAATATAAATAAACCATGTTTATTGTTTATTAATGTCTGTTATAAATATCATTGTTTTGTTTTGACAAAGAGAGAGACAGTGATAGCTACAGCTTTCATTGTTTTTGTTACAAAAAAATAAGTGATGAACAATGTTATCTTTTCTTACAGCCACGATGTACAATGTAAAAGGAGAGATAGTTTAATAAATAGCGAAAAGTATTTTGCATTTAGTATATTATATATATATATATATATATATATATATATATATATATATATATATATATATATATATATATATATATACATTCATCATTTTCACAGAAGCAATAAAATAATAAATAGATGAATAATGTAAAGGGTGTTTACTTTTTATTTCAAATAACCTGAATAGCAAAAAGTTTCAGGAAAATCTATATATACATTGTAACATGTTCTTAAGGATGTAGATTTGATCAATATTTACTTATTCCTGTATAATTTAAAATTTCCAATAACTGAAGAACCATTGTGTGACTTTCTTAATGCCTAATGATGCTGTCCACTTCTAAATCAAATACCAGCTATAACTATATTTTTTGTCATTTTTTTTTCCATCTCTTACGTTTCTGCAAGAGCAAAGTATCATCTATTCTACACTCTCACGAAGTGTTGGAGGTCTGTTTGTTCCGTTAAGTATTCTACACTCTATTCAATGAATTTTCCTGTCTGTGGATAGATTTGTGAAGAATTTGATTCGCCACCGTCTTAATATCCCTTTTTCTACCATAGAGGACACTGACAAGTATGCAAGCATCCCTTCATAGCATTCAGATTTGTTTGAATCGTTGCACGGGGTCTTGCA